AAATCATGGTCATGACGCGATCTTTAAAACAATCATGAATTCAATTCATGACCCAAACCGCTTATAAACCGAACCGACATAATCCAAACCGTTCATAAACCGAACCAATTGAACTGTGTAAACCCTCTACTAAATCGGCCCATTTCAAACTGAACCGACATGATTCGCACCGTTTATAAACCAAACCGATATTGACCCGGGTAAATCCGCCCCTAAACCGACCCATTTCAAACCAAACCGGCTTGATCCAAACCGTTTGTAAACCGAACTGACATTGACCCGGGTAAACCCGCCCCTTAAACCGACCCGTATCAAACCGAACCGACATAATCCGAATCGTTTATAAACCGACTCGCTTATGACCCAAACCGAATTTAAACCGCAAAGAAATAAACCGAAACCAAACCGAGCCGTGACTAACCCAAACCGAACCAAACCGACCCGCCAGCTAAACTAAACCATTTCAATCCGAACCGCTCCAAACCGAAACCGACTCAAACCGAGGTCAAACCGAACTGCCAGACCGAAGTCCCACCCCTAATAATGAGAGTATGCTTCCATGGCTTGCGCATACGCTTCTTCTCCTCTTTAGTTAAGAGGATGACAGGGCAGCGGGGATCCTCTTTAAAACCTTCAGGGGCTTCATCATCATCAGACGCATCATCATCATCCTCTTCCAATTCTGTATTCTGGTTTTGAAATTTTCCCTGCCCCTGCATCTGCGCAAAGCTCACCATTTCACTAAAAGAAATGGTTCTTGGGGCTTGGCGATTAGCCTCAGGGAAAGGATGGTCTCCATTCTGTGCCCCTTGATCATTATTAGGAGTGTAGTGTGAAACTTTGCATTTGAATTTCTTGTTTGAGCGTGTGAGAAGGTCACGTTCTTGAATGGAGGGTTCTTGGTTGAGAGAATTTTCCATGAGAATATCTTTAATAAGTTTATTCCTCCGATCTAGTTAGTTGACGCATTTGATTTAGGCACATAAATTAAGGAGAGGAGAGAGAGTGAGAGAGAATGAAAAAGCAAGTGGGGTAGCTTATAAATATAAAGTAAAAAAAATTTACCCCAAAAGAAAACGTATCAACTAAAAAAAAACTTACTAAAAAGGAATAAGTGTTAACTAAAAAGAAACGGAGGTAGTATATAAATTTAGGGTAATGCTATACATAGCCCTTAGGGCTATACTTAAGCATTAAATTTACTCTTGAAAAATGTATAAAGTTAGGAATTCATGACAAAAACACGCGCAAATCGGTGTAATTAGTGTATTTTTGTCATGAATTTCTAAATTTTTAACAATTTTCAAGAGTAAATTAAATGCTTATATGTAGCCCTAAGGGCTATGTATAGCATTTTCCATAAATTTATTGCCCAATTTCGTAAGACCTTACGTTTGAAATTTAGGCATATTATTGACTAATTGGCCCCACTTAATTTTCAAAATATAATTTGACCCACTTAATTAATTTAATTATAACACCTACTATTCATATAAAGTGAAATTGACATATATTGAATCTAGTCATGCATGATAACTGCAGATCCCAAATTTTAACTTATATTGAAATCTTCAATGGCAAACTTATCGTCAAATTAACTTTGGATGTCACGTATAGCTAATTTTCTTTGTAACTAGTTTGGGTCAAAGTGATTATTAAATTAGCTCCACTTTTTAAAACTAGTTTTTAAAAATTAATTAGTGAGTGGTCTTAAGTTAAGATAATTAAGACTTAAGAGTCTTACCATATTTTTTTTATTTTTTTTTTGAAGCAAGAGTCTTACATATTAGCCATTTATTAATTGTGTTTTTTTATCCAACAAAATTATAGTTAAGTTAGATAAGTTAATTTGTGTCTTATTATACTATTTGTTTTCATTATGTAATGATTGAGTTTGACAATAAAAAAATATTTATAACAAGACTTAAACTCAAAACCAATAAATCTTACTATCAGTCGAATTTGATTAGCAAATTAAACAATTACAAACTAGCAACCCGATGCATCGCTTGGACCACACTAATTAAAGGAGTTAAAACCACAAGTCCACAACTCATGATCAAATAAAAATATTCAAATACTAATGTAAAAGTTGAATAGTACATGTATCAATAACTAGTTGAAGTAACGATTTTTAAAACTAGGTGGAGGATCTAATACTCTAATGTCACAAGAGAAAATATCCAAATAATAATAATAATAAGGCAAAATGTTTAATAATAATAATAATAATTCCAATCAATTTTATGTTGTATACTTGCTGTCAGCCACTCATCAAATAATATTTTATACATATAAATTTTTTTTGACATAGTTTTATACATATAATTATAATAACATACTCAGGCGACTAGCGACTAGCAAATTGCAAAATAAATCCAATTTGCCAACCCTAAACATATCAATCATTTTACAATTACTTAATTCTGATAATTTGCCAACCCTTTTGATTTTTCGTCACCACAAACGTCACTAGTCCAAGCATGTGCCTAATCACTATATGTCTATATGTATATATATATACCACAAACTATAACTATCTACATCACATGCCAACAAAGTAACACATTCACTTACACTACAAACATTTTCCCAATCTCCAAGATTAGAGCACCACAACAAATTCATAACCTCAAATTTTTTACACCTTCCAACTTTACTTGCCAACCCAAAAATTTGTACACCACGTACCGCCTTATATGGAGCAACAAAGGCCTCACTTCCTCCTAGTCACCTTCCCGGCGCAAGGCCACATCAACCCCGCCCTTCAGTTCGCTAAGCGACTCTTAAGGGCCGGGGCTGATGTCACCTTTGCCACCGCTGCCTCTGCCCACAAATGTCTTAAAAAGGCTACGATCCCTGATGGTATGACCTTGACTACTTTTTCTGACGGGTATGATGATGGTTTTAAGGCTAGTGACGGAGATGTCACAAATTATATGTCAACATTCCGCCAACGTGGGGTTGAGACCCTGTCGACACTCTTTGATAAGAGTGTCGCCGAGGGTAAACCAATTACATGCTTGATGTACACACTCCTCCTACCTTGGGCCGCTGAGGTAGCACGTATGTTTCACGTGCCATCCGCGCTCCTTTGGATTCAACCTGCCACAGTTTTTAATATCTACTACTATTATTTTAATGGGTATAATGAGGCTATAAATGAATGTGAGAAAGACCCCTCATGGTCATTAGAATTACCAAACATGCCATTGAAGCTCAAAGCACGTGACCTCCCTTCATTCCTTCTCCCTTCCAACCCTTCCCTTTACACTTTCGCCCTCCCTACGTTCCAAGAGCAAATACAACAATTAGAGATTGAGGATAAACCAATAATCCTAGTTAATACCTTTGAAGCTTTAGAAGTTCATGCTTTAAAAGCTATTGAGAGGTTCACCTTAATTCCTATCGGCCCTATCCTTCCCTCCGCCTTCTTGAATGGAAAGGACCCTTCCGACAAATCCTTTGGAGGGGACCTCTTCCAACAATCTAAGGAGGCGGATTACATGGAATGGCTAAACTCACAAGGAAAAAATTCTAAGGTGGTCTATGTGTCGTTTGGAAGCATCTCAGTGCTATCCAAGCCACAGATGGAGGAGTTAGCCAAAGCCCTAATACAGACCCACAGGCCATTCCTGTGGGTCATTAGGGAGAAGGCGAGTCAAGAAACAAATGAAGAAGATAATAAAGAAGAAGACGAGTTGAGTTGCATGGAGGAGCTTAAACAACAAGGGTTAATAGTCCCATGGTGCTCCCAAGTGGAGGTGCTATCCCACCCCTCAGTAGGGTGCTTTGTGACACATTGTGGGTGGAACTCGACTTTAGAGAGCCTAACATCAGGCGTACCCATGGTAGGGTTTCCACAATGGACGGATCAAACAACGAATGCTAAATTGTTGGAGGATTTATGGAAGACCGGGGTAAGGGTTAATGTGAGTAAAGACGAAGAAGGTGGTGTATTAGTTAAGAGTGATGAGATTAAGAGGTGTTTGGAGGAGGTTATGGAGAGTGAAGAGATTAAGGAGAATGCTAAGAAATGGAGAGAATTGGCGGTCGAAGCGGCCAACGAGGGTGGATCGTCTGATAAAAACTTGAAGGATTTCATGGAAGAGTTGTTTAGTAATGTTAAAAGCAAAAAGATTCATGAATAATTAATAGTACGTCATATAATTATTGCATTATACTACGTATGTTTCATTATCATTTGTTAGCTTTTAATTAGTCCTTTATTACTAGATTAGTGATTTGAAGGAGTACCTAGCGGATTATTAGCAAAATAGTCCACATAAATATTATACTATTTGTTTATTATGGAGTACTAATTTAATGTGCTTATTATGTGCTAGCTCGCTGGTCTTTTGTATGTTGAAATGTTGAATGATGATAAATACTTGGTATCTAAGTCCACTAGTTGGATGTTCCGAATAGATCCATCGTAATGACAATTGATGAATTAAAATACTACTCCCCGCGTCCCTAAATTACATTTCTTTTTTCAACATTTATTCCTCACATAATAGAGCAAAACAGGAATGAAATTTAGGGACCAATGAAGTAGTTTTAATTACATATGTTTAATATGATTATATATGTAGCCGTTTTTTTTAAAAAAAAAATGAATGTATGATTAATATCAATAACTAGTTGGCCTACAATTATTTTATTATTTCTTTTATATATATGTGCAAATTAGGCAAAAGATAACAAACGCAATAGTAAATTAGTAAGTATCATTAGTTTATTATGGCATGAGACAGAGTAGTCTATTCCAAACAAAGTAGGACTAATATAGTACAAATTTGAAGATAAGAATCACTTGTATGTGAATGTGAATGAATATTCGAATACCGTCAATTTATAGTGTTGGATGCAATTATTATTAATCGGTAACTCTTAAGATCTCATCGATAATAGACTAAGGTAGTACTGTAATTTTTAACCCTTGTATTGGTTGGCTATATGTTGCTTTAAAGGTTTCCGTTCCCTTCCTCTGTAATGACTCAAATGTGATAAACCCGCAGATATGACAGTTGTAGTATAATATCCTTCTTACTACATATAATAATAATAATAATAAAAGACTCAATACACAATCGTCTAAGGTTAAAAATTTAAATCTTATAATAAAAGTAGAATACATACCAAAAATTAAATTAAAATTACAAAATATATAAGTATGTCTTCACTAGAGAAGTTGAATTAAATTATTTGCATACATATAAGTATAGGGGGCGGGTACATCCATTCCCGCCCCCATCACCCATGGCGGGTATGGTATTCCTCCATCTCCAGCCAGTTACCCACCAAACCTGGACCTATTTTGAGGCGATCTCCTATGAAGCTGTACTGTCTCCTCTCTGCTTGGATAGAACAGAATTGAACATGTAGCTGAGGCCCTTGGTAGACTCTGTAATGTACTTTCGAGTTCCATATTATGTTCTTCAGCAACATGTCCCTTCGTTATGATCAATTCCTCCAACACAAAAGCATGTCTAAACAAAAACTGGATCAAATTCACTTCCCGCTCCGCCCCATAGTAGTAATCAATCACAATTCTTTTAAGATGATATCTGCAACATGAAGGAATCACTGCTAGAGTTTTATTAAAAAACACTTGTTCCTTGAGTATCTTCTCGTCAGGAAAAGGAAACGTTACTCTACCTTGTCCACCCACATATGAATATGATATTAATCCCTGCAAAGTTGATCCCAATCAAAATCAACATCAACAACTTTACGCCACATTTAAATTGAATATATTCTTCTTCTTCACCATGAATGCCTTAATCCCATAAGTAGGGTCGGTTACATGAACCAAAATGAGGACTTCCCAGAAGGTCACTATCCATCCTAGTACTATTCTCGATCAATGTGGTTCATGCCATGGGATGTGACAAGTGAACTTATTTTATGTATGTAAAATTAATACACAAGTGAAGTAAGTCACAGACTAACCTTAGGAAAAACAAGAGTTTCTAAGACCGGTGAACGATTGAGAAATGCCAAAACGACTTTATCCCAGCAGTTATGATAAGAATAAGCCAGCTCTAGATATTTCAAATTATGAAACAGTGGCAGCTTATCCTCTATACCATCAACATTTAGCTCCTTCAACCAAAGGTGCAATAAGTCAATCTCACATTACATAATATAAAATACATACTACATATTGTTTTTATATACTACCTCCTTTTGCAAATGAAATTTAATACTTGTAAAGAAATTTTTTTAAGTTCATGAGATCTTGTGCAAGATTACTAATGAGGCGATAAAAAAAATGGAGGGAGTATATAAATAAATGAGAAATCAGGGAGCAAAACGAGGATGCCCCAATTTCTCAGGTGAGAAGCAAATTTTGTTTCTCACATAACATTTTCGTAAATAAACCAACAACTTTATTCAATTGTGGAGCCCACAATAATGAAAAAGTTGTTGATTTATTCACGAAAATGCCATTATGAGAAACAGGGAATTTCCCGAGCAAAACTAGAAATTTAAACAAACCTGTGCCCAAATGCCGTGCAAAGATAAATGGTGAACATTATCGAGAGCTTTGATAAGGCTAAGCAATACTTGAAGATCTTCAACTTGACCTAATGTCACAGTTGCGAAGGCTATTTCTGCTTCTACCAGCCGACTCATATTTGTAATAGAAAGTCGTTTAGGTAGATTATCATAATAACCAAGGTACTCCAAATTAGGAGTATTGATAAGCACAAAATCAGTGTTGCTAAATTCATCAACAAGTTTATATATTTCTAAATGCAACCTCCGGAGAGAAGACGAAGAAATACGTGTGTAGTTGACATGATTCCAATTTGCTACAACTTTGAGATCTTCAAGTATAGGGCAGCTTGAAACCAACCTTGGCAACAAGCCATCCTCGTTAATGAGAGTGGCATAGAGGTGTAGTAATTTCAAGTTTGGAAGACGAAAGGAAGGCATGGTGCAAACTTGATCAAGACCGAGGTTGACATCAAGTTTGAGCACCTCCAACGTCTCACACAAGAAGATAGCTGGTGGAAGCTGACCCGGTTCCCTGACATGAATTCGGAGATCAAGTTGTTTGAGGCCAATACGGGTTATAGCAAAAGAGATCCACGGCTTGGTGTTCAAGTCCGGAAAACAGTCTTTCTCACATCCAAAAACTTTATGTTTGGTGCGACCCAAGTATGTGGTGGCGTAGTCCTTGCCTAGATGAAGTCTAAAGCTGGTGAGATACCGAGACTGATGCGCACGCAGAACAGTCTCAACAAAAGATACAAAACTAGGGAAACGATGGATTGCATATGGATGTTGCAAACAATTCGAGACAGGTGAATCACTCAAGTCTAGGGTCGTAATCCATGGAAATGCACGTTTAATAGTACTAGACAATGAGCAAGTAGCAACAGCATCCTTGGTAGGAAGCAAAGAAAGTATCCGAATTAACAATTCATTAGGCAAACTGGATAGCCTATCTAACATTAGGCTATCATCTTGTAAGGTAGTAGTAGCACATGGTTTCAACCCGAAATCCATAGACTTGAAATCAAATTATCCCTGCTTTATCAATCCATGATGAACAAGTTAATTGGGGACAAAGGCAGTCATACAACAAGTATTTTACGGAACAAGTTTTATATATGTCAAATCGTTGCAAATAATATGTAACCGATACAGTATAATGTAAGAAAAGTTGCATGCTTATACAGAATAAAGTTACCTTCTTTACAATAAGTTTATACAATAAAGAGTAATCCTGATGTAATCATATTATTGTTTTTAAGAACTTTTATTATCCCATTAAAAAACATCTGTTAATTGACAACATAATTCATAACTAAATTTGGGTCAAAACCAGGGAAAGGAGGTCTAATTTCAGAGTTAATCCTAACATTAAAGGCTTGTGCAGTACATTAGCAACCGAATTTGATTCAACCTTAAAATAATTTTAGGGATATTTGTTTCAATAATCAAGTTAGTTTTCTGGTAAAATAATAATAATGTAATCGCTGATTATAATCTTTCATAATCTTAGTATTTAGAACCAATAATTCAGATTTTTGGAAATTAAATTAGTTAATTAGACCAAAATAAACCCTAGATTGTGAAATTGATATGATGATGATAACAATTTACCTCAGAAGCTGCTTCAACGGAGGATACGAGTATTAGAGATTAAGCTGCTTCGATGAAGAACGTGGAGAGAAAGAGAACCCAAATAAAAGCCTTAACCCGCCACTATTTAGTATTTATTCAACCGATTTATCCTTTAGACTAGTCCTGATTTGGGCTCAATTCTATTTGCTATGTTCCAAACTTCCAATCCCTCCCAATTTTTATTATGAACTTACAGGGTTCGAACCCGTTGTCCTTCTTATTAAGTACTGTCCTAATTATCATTACATTAACAAGAATAACAACTAATTGGTTGACCTCCCACAGTTATAAATAGATTAGATCCGTATAATAAAGTACATTGTATATGATCCCTATAAATTTTCTTAAACTTAGTGAACACCCTATTGTTGTAATTAATATGAAACGAAGAGAGTATTTATAAAAAGTTTAATTAAGGGTGACAAGAAAGAGAAATGATAAAATATTTAAGAAATTGGATTTAGTGGGTGAGAATAATTATAAAATAATAAATGAGTTATTTTTAAATATAAAATTGTTCCAATATAAAATTGCACGATTATAAAAATAGCAATTTGGGGCAACACCCAGATTATTCACTATCACTAAAAGAATCTATCAATCAATCAATCAATAACTATATACTAAAAGACACACCAATAATGACACGTGTCATTCTCTGGTGTGTCCCTTAGTTTTTTTTTATTTTTTTTTACTGTATTTAAGGAAACAAATATTAAATAAAAATAAAGTATAAAAACCTATACATAAATAAAAGATTTGATGTATTCTTGACAACTATATAAACTTATGTAAAAGGAAAACCAAAAAAAAAAAAAAATCAAACTTAGCTTTAACATAATTTTTGCCAATTATAGTGTCATATACTTCAATAATAGCATTTTTTTTATTTAATATCTTTATAAAATAATACATTATATTTAGAAGCTTCAAGAAAGTAACTAGAATATAAAAATTACTTAAAATAAAATATTTGATAAATCCTTCCACAAAAATATTAACAACGGCAGAGTATAAATTATAGGAAAAAAAACGAAATCTTATATTTGACATATTGAGTGTAATGTACTACTCCGTATTTTTTTACAACACCAATTTACTTTCTAAAAAAAAAATAGAAATATATTTACGGGTTAAATACATACTTCCTCCGTTCTTTTTTACTTGACCCGCTTTGACTTTTACACTATTCACCACTCCTCCTTTGACCGTGTTTTGTGAATAATAATTAAAGAAAAACATATTCATGTAAGATATTTTTAAATTCGTTTCAACAAGTACTATCATAATATATAACTTTTATAATTTTAACTTATCGAGAATTAAAGTTATTGATCGTTAAAATTTTGCATTGGTAAGCGTGATAAAAGAAACAGGTTAAGTAAAAAAGAACAGAGGAAGTAGTACATAGCTTTAAAAAATTCATTTGGTTAATAAGCAAAAAAAAATGATATTAATATGTTGGTTAAATATACAAATATATATAGGTCAGGTTTTGTCAAATGTGTATATTAAAATACCTGTATGGCTAATGAGCTCTTTCATAATAAATACATCATACTATTTTAGACAAATTTATATTTTTTGAAAAACAAATGTATGTTTAATTAAATTATACAGTAATATTTATTTAAAAAAAAAGAAAAATTAAATTATAGTATTTAGGTTTTTTTTTTTTAAAAACAAATTCATTTTAGTATTTTTTGTTTTTGTTAACAAATGTATATTTTTTTATTAAATATTATTTTATTGAATAATTATTTAAATTACCGTGTATGACACGGGATCTAATCTAGTTTTCAAACAAAAAGAGTACTCCATAAATCTAATCCATTAAAAATAGAGGTTAACTCTAGGAAGTCATCATGGACTATATATCCAGTATCCACGAGACCACGACATTACCGTAATAGCTGCGGCCCAAAATCACAAATAAAATTATAACCCAAAATTATTTTCTACAACTATGAACTCGCGCCATTTTTCGGCAATGGCGGATTGAAACATTGAATCTACTGATTACATAATCTCAAATCTTTACTTTTAGCATACAAATTTATACTTCATCAAAAATGGCGATCTTTCCAATTTCTATGAAGAATTTATCATCAAAACCAGCAATTTTAGGAGAGAGAAAGAGAGTTGAAGAAACTGCAAAGATGAGGGTACGACATTACAATGGTTGGAGTATTCGCCAGAATTCTTACAGAAAATCAGTGAATAACTATGGAATTACATGAAATTTCTCCAAGTTTGAGGGATTTTCTTATTTTTGGTGAGGTGATTTAAGGTTTTGCTTTGCCTATTACATGTTCGACGAAATGCCTCTGAGAATAGGGTGGAGCTTCTCAAGTATTAATTTTGAACCATACTTGGGTTTTTCATAAGAAATTTGTTGTAATTAGTAATTCTTCTTGTGATAGTTATGATTTGCTGTCCAAGGGGCTGCATCAAGGTGGGAAAGTGACGAGCTTCGAAGCTTCGAGGGTGAAGGAAAGGTGGTATTTGATGGTATTAATCATGATTCAAAGTGATGTGACATTCTGAAATAATTGGGAGAATCATATAGTATTGATAACATCATAACAAGGAAGAGCAATCCTCATCATTGATGATTGTTCATATTGTGGGGGTTGGCCAAGGTAATGGGAAATGGCTGGTGGTTGATGCATTTTCTAGGCAGCTTTACATGGTTATTCAAAGAACGCAATGCTTGGGTTTCAGGTTTCGGGTTTACGAGTGAAACGAAGATGTGCAATTATGGGAAAAAAGGGTTAACTACTAGGGAGACAATGTTATTTGTGGATATCAATTTTTGTTTTAGTGCCTCAATATTGCGAATTTCACATGGTTTTCTTGATCAGCATAAATGTGATTATGTAGATGATATAGACAGTATTTTGTTCGAGAAGTCAGATGTTGGCACTGGTTGGCACGAACAGCGGATTGATCTTTTTTTGATACGAAGACTTCTTGAGCTAGCTTATGGTATCATGTCTCTCTTTCAATCTGATTTGGTTTATATAATTTTCATCTGGGGGAACTTGTTAGTGATTTCAAATTGTGGTATAATAGCCTTAGGTTTCGCAAACTGATCAGGGTGCCACAAATATGGTCATACTGGTCGAATGAGATTGACAATTCTAGCATAATATGTAGCCAAACTTGTAGAACCAGCCTACTCGTCAGGGTAGGTGCAAAAGGATGTGCAGTGTCTTCTAAAGAGAGATTTGGAGGTGATTTATGTCTGAAAAGGCTCTGTATTAGACAGACGTGAAGTTGTTCGAGGATGTACTTGGAGTCTTGGAGTAATGTGAGGTTAGAAAGTGGTTAAGGGCCAGAGAGATGGCTGCTCTGGATCGGAGGGAGATTTTGGCGAGCCAGAATAATTTTAAGACGGTAAGATAATAAATTTAACGGAACCATTGTTGTTGCAACTTAAGAGCAGAAGTCAATCTTTTTGTTATTGCTCCATCAGCTGCTGTTTAGAAAATAAGAAGATCGTGTATAGTTGTGGCTTTGCATACAATGAAACTCCAAGAGTCATAGACTTATAAAGAAGCTTTAATCTTTATATCCTAATTATACATGTTCTATTCTGTTGCACAAGCTTAAAGAATCCTGTCTGATGTATTGTTGAATGGTTACTTAAATTGCCTTGTAAATAAATGAATTAGAAGCCACAGTTCTTGATTTTACACCCTTTTTTTTTTTTTGAAGTTAAGGATGCAATACTTAAGTTAAAGTTCGGTTACAATCAAAGATCACTGGGACATCACCAGTCAAAGTAGTACTAGAGTTTACATTACAAAAGTTCATGTCTCTCTCAAAAGCTACAAGACAAGTATCTGGTGGATTAGACAAAATACAACATTCATTCAGGCGATCCAGATTGCTCCTAGCATCCTTTGCAAGCACATCAGCTACTGCATTGCTCTCTCGCTTCTCAAAGCGCATATCCACATGGAGGTCCATCCTTAGGTCCCTGCAATTTAGTAACATCGATGGAGCATTAGAGGTACAGTCATTCGATAAAATATCATCAATTGCTCGTTTAGCATCAGAGCAGAGGATTGTATTTGTCCAGTTTCTGGTCTTAATCAGATTCAACCCCAGATGGATAGCTTTCAATTCGGCATCATAACTTGAGGCTAGAAAACCTCTCCAGTTTAGCCCATCAATCCAGGCACCCAGAGAATTTCTACACACTACAGCGCAGCCAGCTTCTTTTGTGGAGATTAGAAACGATGCATCACAGTTTACTTTGAAGAAATTTGAAGGAGGGGGAGACCAGTGTACAGGAGAGGGCTTCGGACTTTCAGAGCTTCACTTTGAAGAAAAGAAAAACTCTGAAGCAGCCCATTTACACTGAGAGATTGCTGAAGAAATTGGGGTGTTTGAATTTGAGAAGTACCAAGCATTACGCCTCAACCAAATATGCCACATAGCAAAGGTGAACACAACATATATTGCATACAGAGCTTCTTTTTAACCAAAAAAAAAAAGGAAGTTATTTTTATATATTGCATGTTGATTTATTTAACAAATTCATGATGACTATGCAGAATTGCAGATTGTGTCATCATGAACAACTAGGCTGGACCGTGCTTGGAGATAGACAAATCAATCAGTTCGCATCGTCGTTGTGGTGAGTGTGTTTATTGTAAGATTGGTCACAATGCTTCGCAACACATTGATTTTTAGTTATATCTAGATAAAACCCTGTTCTTTTGTTCTTAGTATTTTTTTTTTTTGTTTGCTTGCTTGTTTGTTAGTTATGTCTACCTATGCTCGTTCTTTCCAATTTCCATTATATGTCTTTAATTAACTTTGATATCTGTCAGTTTTGTAGTCAAGATCTCTATTTTTTTTCCTTTTTTTTTTTTTTTTTTTTTGAATTGGATACTAGAATAATGAGGAAATAATGTCCAATCCCCAGGAGTTGCAAACTTTTGTATTCTTACCTGCCTAAGCGTGCAGAATTGCGTCCCATGGAAGGTTAGCTGCTAGCTTGATTGGTGACTAAGTAGTATACATCTTAGGCAAGCGTTTAGTAATGTAGTTTACACTATCTATAGCTTAGATATTGAAAGGGAAAAAAGGACCAGAGAGATGGTGAGCTGAGAGAGTGCCTTGGGATCATTTATATAAAGCCCCATACAGTACGGCTTATTACTTCAGATGATAACTACATGCTGGGATAGTATATTGTTACTAACAAAAATATGTTGACTTGCTGTTAGTGTGAATTAAAGACGAGCCTTGTACCTGAAGAGATGTTTGGGCTTGGATCAAATGCTGTTGTGATGTGTATACTTGAGGCCTCAGTCAGTATTCCAACACACTATATAAAACTGGTAATGAGTCTGTGTCTAACGTCTAGGCAATGATGTAAAGCTAAGAAACAGATCAAAGATGTGATAGGGTATTAGGATGGGCTCAGTATTTTCCGTCTGCCTGAATTCTGCAGTCCTACTAGTAACCGTGGCTTTTAGATCATAGTTTAGGAGCAGAAAACATCCATTATGTGCCTGGTCCATGGGTATTGTATTGCTTATTAGGTTTTATTTTGAGTGTCAGGAGCCATCCAAATGAGCAAGAATAGCCTTGGGTACGTGATAATACATTCTCGTAGGCTGGACTAGGAAGTCATCGGTATGTGTTATTCATTATTGTATGCTGTTTATAAAATCTTCTAAAGGTATATTGTGCCCCGCCTAATTTGCTATAATGACCAGGCAATGTAAAGTCCCGTTCTACACGGTTTAATAATTGTAAGGACTAGCTTACTGATCAATCACAACAGCTTTATTTATGGTCAAGTCTTTAGTGTTCTTTGAGGGGCAAGTTGCTCCAAGTACATAGCTAGTTAGCTACATATGTAAGAGATTTGCAATGCTTAGAATTTTGTATTTTTGGTCTCGCCGTCTTGGATACTTCCCAAAACTTTACCAATACAGGGAAATATAACTACCCAATCAATAGCAGTCGACCTATTAATTCTACTCAGTTACCAAGTCAACCCCATGCTTCTGTGTGTTAAATAAGTAGCAATGGACGTTTAAAACACGTACTTTCTGGGTTACTTGACTTACTTCTCCGATTATATCCTCTTAATATCAGAATTGTAGAGAAAATTTACAAAGCATTACATTAATTACATGTACGAAAAAAATGGGTGCTCAAGCTCAACAGTTTATAGCATTAGTACTAGTGTTTATTTTGAATCTCAACACCTTATACTGTTTAAATAGTCCGTTATTCCCCTACAAAGAAAGCCAACCCAGCTACTACGAAGTGCTCGAAGCCATACAGCCCACACCGTCAATCAAATGCATGACAAACGAGGCCACTTGTGAGGCTATAGCAGGTTATGTTACACAGAGTAAAACTACACTGGGCCATATCGAATCCTTGTTTCAGGTGAAGAGCCTGAGCTCCCTCTTGCAGACTAACTTCCTGCCTCCTTCTACCCCTCGGAATTTTCTGATTTATGGAGGTCAGACGGTAAGGATCCCATTCCCTTGTCACTGTAAGAACGGAACAAGCCTCTCTGATGGCCTTCCTGTCCACACTGTTACCAAGGCTGAGAATGGTAAGGGCCTAGAATATCTGAAAGTGATATGATCGTCGGATCATTTCATTAGCTGTGTAAATATTATATACAAATTACAATAGCAATCTAATGCTATAATTACGGTAACAAACTAGGAAAGGATTAATCCTAAATATACACTTAACTAATATAAACAAGAGATATATACAAGAATATATTTGCATATATTCTAACACACCCCCGCAGTCGTAGCGAGATAGTCACGGACGCTAAGACTGGCACGGAAATCATCAAATAAAACCCGGGGAAGTCCCTTCGTAAAAATATCTGCAATCTGATACTGAGAGGGAACATGTAAAACTCGTACCTCGCCCTTTGCGACCTTCTCACGGACAAAATGGATGTCCATCTCAATGTGTTTCGTGCGTTGGTGCTGCACGGGATTACCAGAAAGATAGATGGCACTCACATTGTCACAATACACAATAGTTGCTGTTCGAATAGGAAAATAGAGCTCGAGCAACAAATTTCTGATCCAACAAGAATCAGATACCACATTAGCAACCCCACGATATTCTGCCTCTGCACTAGATTTAGATAATGTAGGTTGCCGTTTTGAAGACCAGGAAATCAAATTATCCCCTAAGAAAACACAATAACCTGAAGTAGATCGCCTGGTGTCGGGGCATCCCCCCCAATCCGCATCAGTATAAGCAACAAGTTTAGTAATGGAGGACTTATACAGATGCAAACCATAAGACAAAGTGTCCTGTAAGTAGCGTATAATACGCTTCAAAGCTCCCATGTGCGCATTGCGCGGATCATGCATATGGAGACAAACCTGCTGAACTGCATAAGAAACGTCAGGTCTAGTAAAGGTCAAATACTGAAGGGCACCTGCAAGACTCCTGTACTTAGTAGGATCCTCATATGGAGCATCATGAGAAGCACTAAGTTTGGATTTTGTGTCAACTGGTGTCGGACAAGGACTACAGTTGGACATGCCGGCCTTATCAATGATAGAAGAAGCATACTGTTTCTGGACAAGAACATACCATTAGCATCACGAGTGACAGCAATGCCCAAAAAGAAACTCAAAGGACCTAAATCCTTCATAGCAAATTGGGAGCCCAAAAGATCCATAATACGTGCCCGTAAGCAATCAGAGGAAGCTGTGAGTATGATATCATCAACATATAACAGAATATAGGCAGTATCAGATCCCTGCCTAAATATAAACAGAGAATTATCAGATTTACTGTTAGCAAATCCAATAGAGATGACAAAATCTGCAAACCGCTGATACCAGGCTCGAGGAGCCTGTTTGAGACCATAGAGAGAGCCTCGCAATAGACACACATGATCAGGGCGACTTTTGTCGCGAAAACCCATGGGCTGATGCATATACACTGTTTCATTGAGCTTACCATGCAGAAAAGCATTCTTGACATCCAACTGATGGATCGGCCAAGAGTGAGAGATAGCAATGCTAAGAACAGTACGAATAGTGGTCGGTTTTACAACCGGACTGAAAGTCTCATCACAATCAATACCCTGCTGCTGAGTCTTACCATCAGCCACAAGACGAGCCTTATACCGCTCAAAAGAACCATCAGATTTCGTTTATGACGAAATATCCACATAGAACGAATGACATTCACATTAGGTGGCCGAGGAACCAAATCCCATGTATGATTGTCAATAAGAGCATTATATTCATCTAACATTGCATTTTTCCAATTAAGGTCACGAATAGCACTAACCGGGTCCTTTGGTATAGGAGAAATGGTGGTGGTGGTCATGGTGTTTAAGTTGGAAAAATACTTTGGGTTAGGTTTAATAATGCCGTCTTTAGCTCTAGTGGTCATTGGGTGAGATGCGGTATCTTGGGGAGCGGTGGCCGAGGTAGGTGAGTCGTGGCTGCTGGCAGTCAGTGGGTGAGATAGATCTTCACTTCGTGAGGAAGTGAAGATTGGGCTGGAAAATAGAGGGGGAGTGAGGAGAGGAGTGTATTGGGCTTCTGGGTGTGAAGAGCCCACTTGCGAGATGGTGACAGACGAAGGCCCAGAAGGTGACCCATCACTTGGTCCTGGAGAAGGAGGAGACCGAAGTGAGGGCGGGCTGTTGGGGGGCGTGGGCTGAAGTGGAAATGGATTCGGCCCAGGTGGAGAAGGAGGAGGAATATTAGAGGAAGAAGGCCCAGACGAAGTGGGATGGACTGGAGAAGGAGTTGGGTGAGGTTGAGCGGTGCGCAAATGGTGAGTGTGATTTGGTGGAGAGTAGTCCACGAAATCATAATCATCTAATTTCGGTGTGTGAACCTTTGAAAACGGGAATTTGCTTTCAATAAATTTCACATGCCGACAAATGATGATTTTTCCATTTGATAGATTATAGCATTTCGAACCACGATGATTAGGCGCGGGGCCAAGATAGACACAAGGAGTGGACCGTTCTTGCAATTTATTTATGGAGGTAGAAGGAAAAAGAGGAAAACATAGACAACCAAAGACACGTAATGCCGAATAGATTGGATCACGTTGGTATAAAACTTGTGCTGGAGAGTTATAACCTAAGACTTTAGTTGGTAGAATGTTTAGAAGATAGGTAGCCATAGATAATGCATGGTGCCAAAAAGAGAGGGGCAAGGATGCATGAGCAAGAAGGGTCCGAATCATATTATTGATGGTTTTTATGTGTCGTTCAGCTTTACCATTTTGAGGAGAAGTGTGAGGACAAGAGAGACGATAGAGCATACACAAATTGTTATTTTAAATCCTTGTATAATAATTTTCTCATTAAAAAATTTCCGAGACAAAGGGAGTACTCTATAAGTAAATACTATGTAAAATCCATATAAAAATAGAGGTTGATTGGTTGCGGCCCAAAATCACAAACAAAATTAAATTCCAAAATTACATTCTCCACCTATGAAAATGCGCGCCATTTTTTGCCAGCAATGGCGGATTGAATCATAGTGATCAGATAATCCCTAATCTTACATTTATCATTCAAATTTACCCTTCATAAAAAATGGCAATATTTCAATTTTATGAAGATTTTATCCTCAAAATCAGCAATTTTAAGAGAGAGAAAGAGAGTTGAAGAAACTGCAAAGGTGAGGAGAGAAAGCTACCATAGCAGGGATTTTTGCCGGAGTTCTAACTAAAATTAATGAATAAATATAGAATTCCATGAAATTTCTCCATTTTTCTTATTTTTAGTGAGGTGATTTAGGGGTTTTGCTTTGCCGTTTACATGTTCGGCGAAATGCCTCTGAGAATGGAGTGGAGTTGAGCTTTTTAAGATTAATTTTGAACCATAATTGGGGTTTTGCTAAGAAAGTTGTTGTAATTAGTAATGCTTGTTGTGATAGTGATGATTTGCTGTCCAAGGAGCTGCATTGAGGTGGGAAAGTGACGAGCTTCGAAGTTTCGAGGGTGAAAGAGGGGGAGGGAAAGGTGGTACTTAATGGTGCTAATAATGATTCAAAGTGATATGACATTACAAAATACAAGGGAAAATAATATAGTGTTGATAACCAAGGAAGAGCTATCCTTATTGTTAATACAAGGTAGCAGATTAATGTGCCTCAAGACTTCTTGAGCTAGTATATGGTATCATGTCTCCCTTTCAGTCTGCTTTGGTTTGTTGTATAATAGCCTTAGGTTTCGCAAACTGATCAGGTGAAAATTTGGAGGCGATTAAGGCCTGAAAAGGCTTCGTATGGGACAGGTGATTATGTGAAGTTGTTGGAGGTTATACTCAAGTAATGTGAGCCTTGTGAGGTTGGAATGGGCTAAAAGACCGGAGATTGTGAATTGTGATGGTTCTCGAGGGAGGCTATGGTGAGCTGAGCTGAGAGAGAGTTTGTTGAGATCAGAAGGGAGACAACTAGTGTTATGTCGAAACCATTATCGTTGCAAACTGACTTGAAATCGTCAGAACAGGTAAGCTGATATTGTGCAGTTGAGTCCTTGGTTTTTTTCCATCTAGAAATGCTCTGTTCATTTCTACTTGCATTTTTCCGTGCTTGTTAGTTGATTATCTGCTTATTGCCGTTCTTTTCTCAAGCATAGGTGCTCTTTGTCTTTGCTATTATAGGCTTCATCTTATATATTGTTAATTGATTATGTCGTCTTCAACTACTCGACTTGATAATTGTAAGGACTGTGAATCTATGATGGGTTTCACCACCATCTTGCTGATTACGACGCCTTTATCAAGGTCAAGTCCTCAATGTTTTTCAAAGGGAAATTTGAGTCAATATACTGCACAATACACCAAGTATTAGTCCAATTAATATACTTTTCAAAGTTGTCAGCTGAATGTAAAAGAGGAAAAATATAATAAAAATGTAGGTAGAATTTTCTATGCCTATGTCCCTAAGATATTGTTAAACTCAAAACCACAAGTCCAGAACTAACAGTTCTAATATTGCAAAAAATGAAGCAGATGGATGTTCCTGAGTACTATATATCACTCTCTTTGATCCTACTCTTTGCTTTTGTATCCTTCTCCGCTCAAGACTTAAATTATACAGACCCATTGCCATCTTTCAAGTGTGTGACCAACAATGCTACATGTGAAGCCCTGGTAGGTTACGTCTCCCAAAACACCACTACATTTGGCCACATTCAATCCTTGTTCCAGGTGAAGGATCTGAGCTCTCTATTGGGGGTCAATCTTTACCCTCCTTCTACCCATGAAGACTACATCATAGGGGTCAATCAGACAGTCAAGGTCCCCATCCCATGCCGCTGCATCAATGGTACTGGTCTCTCCGACAGAATCCCCATCTACACTGTTGCCCCTAATGATACTGCATACTCTATAGGAACGTATATTTTCTCAGGATTGGTGGCAAATGGATCAAATCCTGAACTTCCAGGACTGGTGAGCTACCAGCAGATTATTGCCGCCAATCCAATAATGGATTTCCTTAATCTTACGATTGGAACAAAGCTGTGGATCCCACTTCCCTGCAGTTGTGATACTGTGGTGCACTATGCACATGTGATGCCACCCGGGAGCACTCTGGATCAGGTTGCTGCGGAGTTTAATATCACATCAGAAACTTTAGCTAGTGTAAACAACATAACTGATCCTTCCAAGGTTAAAGCTGATCAGGTCATTGATGTCCCGCTTAAAGGTTCAGTTCTTCAGAACCTTGCTACTCCTTCTGCAGGTAATTCTTAATAAAGAAGACTAATACTCTATACTTTACTACATACTGGTTAGTACTCAACATAGCTAGCAGTTCAAGAAATCAAGCCTAAAAACTTAGTATGGTAATAAGAATGTTAAAAGAGCTCACAATGCGCAGTTTGAGTGAACGAATGCGAGTAAACGTAAAATTTTAGAAAGATCAATACAGCAATTTTATAATATTGCTAATGCATTAATTCAACATCACTGCACAATTGCACATTAACTTGGCTTTATTTTAGCATTTCATCTGCAAAGGAAAAGTGGGCAGTGTTTGATAACTAATCTTCTCAAAGAAATTTGATGAAGGAAAATTAGTTTCCAGTCATATTTTTCTTCTTTGGGGAAAGTATTATCAATACAAGTTTAGTCAATAATTTTTTAATTAACAGCTAGATCCTAGCTCTTGAAGTGTTCTACCATAATATCAAGACGACGCTTTTCCTTTGCATAAGACCAAGTTTCTTCATATCGATTTTGATTATATAAAAGAAATGTATCGATGTCTAGTACTTTGTTGTTAATCATCATTTCTTAGCAAATATAGAAGAGAATTGGCATCCTAGCATCATCTCTTTCATAAAGCATCTGAAATTATTCTTGATTAAGAATCATAGAACAGAGGTCATCATCAGATTGTAATTTTGACAGTGTTAATGAGAATAAGACTATATATGTGACAAAATTGATGTATAAGACTCTTCTTGGAGTTCCTAAGCACGATTATTTTAGTGTTTTACATGTAAATGAAACAAATCACAGCTGCACATATTTAAAATTCCTTTCCTTACCATTTCTAATTTTTTCTCTGTTTTCTTATTTTTTCATCTAAAGCTGATGGGGCAGTTCTGAAGAAATTGATCTCTACACTCAGTCCTGTATCAGGTTGGTATGGCTCCAACTTCTGCATCTGGTCTGGGATTATTTGCACCAGCAATGGCTTCGTCAAATCCATTAGCTTACCCTCCCGTAATATATCTGGTAGTCTTTCCCCCGATCTCAACTCCCTGTCTCAGCTCACCACAATCTATCTCCAAAACAACCAACTCTCCGGCCCTCTCCCATCCTTTGCCAATCTCAAATCCCTCCGAGAGATACACCTTGACTCTAACAACTTCACTTTAGTCCCAAATGGCATTTTTTCAGGCCTTAACCTCCTTCGAATCCTCTCTTTAAATAATAATCCGCATCTTAGTCCTTGGGCCTTTCCGGCTGAATTGACTGATTCTAGAATTTTGGTATCCTTCCAAGCTAGCAATGCCAGTCTCATGGGACCTATACCAGATATTTTTGACTCCCTCACCAGTTTCCAGAATCTGAGGCTATCATATAACAATTTGACAGGGTCATTGCCAGGTTCTCTTTATAAGACCCAGATGCAGAACTTGTGGCTTGAAAATCAGCATATGGGTCTATCTGGCTCCCTTGATGTTCTTGCAGAAATGAGATTATTGAAGCAGGTCTGGCTACAAGGAAATAAATTTACTGGCCCAATTCCTGACCTTTCAAACAACACTGGTATATTCGATCTACAACTGCAAAACAATCTGTTAACCGGTGTTGTTCCAAATTCCTTGATGTCTTTGCCCGGATTAGTCAACATCTCATTGCAGAACAACAAGCTCCAAGGCCCATTACCAGCTTTCCCTGACAGTACTGATGTGACTCTTGGGACAACAAACCTATTCTGTCAAGATGTTCAAGGAGCTTGTGATTTTCAAGTGACAACATTGCTAGAGGTTGCTGGAGCTCTGGGCTATCCTCTGAAGCTGGCTGAGGCTTGGCAGGGTAATGATGCATGCAATAAATGGCCATATGTAACCTGTGATGCCTCTGGAAACATCATTAGAGTAAACCTATCCAAGCAGGGATTCAGCGGTACCATATCTCCTGCTCTTGCAAACTTGACATCTCTAAGTGAGTTATACTTCGACAATAACAACTTGACTGGTACCATACCAGCAAGTTTAACAACCTTGCACAGTCTCAAAGAAATAAACCTCTCAAACAATGATCTTAGAGGAGAAATCCCGAATTTTAAGTCCACGGTGATTGCCCTCACTTATGGCAATAAGAATATTGGAAACAACACAAACAATAGCACTGTTAGTGCGAGTAAAAAAACTCCTAAGAAGACTTCTAAGATACTACTAGCAGCATTAGCTTTGACATTTTCAATTGTTTCATTCTGGGTTATGCTGTATGTATTAAAAAAAAGAAGGCATAATGCAAAACAGAAAGAAGATGCAGAGCAATGGGAGGGTTTCTTGCATCTAGCACCTGACTCTCCACTAAGGTTCTCTTATCACGCTTTGAAGACAGCAACTGATAACTTCAATGTGCTCCGAAAGCTTGGGGGAGGTGGCTTTGGGACTGTTTTTGAAGGAAACTTGAATAACACGACCAAAATTGCTGTTAAGAGGTTGGATTGTCTTGGACAGGGAAGGAAGGAGTTTCTGGCGGAGGTACAGACTATAGGAAGCATACACCATGTCAACTTGGTGAAATTGGTTGGATTCTGTGCCGAAAAAGTACATAATTTACTAGTCTATGAGCACATGAGCAATGGTTCACTAGACAAATGGATTTTCAAGACCAATTCAAGAGATGCCCTTCCTTGGGATACTAAAAGAAAAATCATCCTGCATATTGCCAAGGGACTTGCTTATCTGCATGAGGACTGTCAAAAGCGTATAGCCCATCTAGATGTAAAGCCCCAAAATGTGCTTCTCGATCAGGAATTTAATGCTAAACTATCTGATTTTGGCCTAGCAAAACTAATGGATAAGGACCAAAGTTATGTTCTGACTCAAATGAGGGGAACTCGAGGTTATCTCGCCCCTGAATGGTTAGGCAGAAAGATCACGGAAAAGGTCGATGTCTATAGCTATGGGGTTGTGGTGCTAGAAGTAATTTTCGAGAGGAAGAATTTGGATTGCTCTGAAGAAAGCACTCTAATCATGCAGGTTAAAACGAAGATAGAGGAGAATAAATTACTTGATCTACTTGATAAATGCTCTGAAGATATGCATCAAAACTTTGAAGACATAGAAATGGCAGTAAAACTTGCAATCTGGTGCTTGCAGATTGAACCAGCAAGGCGGCCTTCTATGTCAACGGTGGTAAAAGTTCTGGAGGGCTCAGTATTTCTCGAAAACATTGATGACTTTTCCTTGACAAGCCCAGTTACCTATGGAAACCCGACCTTGGAGCCTATAACAGAAATTTCTGATTCTGTTCTCTCTGGTCCGAGATGAGGCAGGTACTGCCAACAAATTTCTGAGTGATCATTTGTTGCATAAATGAAAATTTTCTGTAGGAAATACGAAACGTTGTCAACATGGGCTTAATAGCTAAGAGCAGCCGAAGTTTTTTTTTTTTTCCAAATGGTAAGATACAAACTGCAACTCTGTGGGGAATTTAGTCATGCGCACACAAACAGCTTTATTACATATTTACATGTTTGCTCATCTCTTTAATTGTAATAATATTTGGCACTGTATTAGTACTTAATCAGAGTATTCAACTTTGGTAGCTGGAAAAGATAAAAAGTTTCCACCAATGTTCTACCTAGGAGGCTGGGATCATCTTTATAAATATCCAAGTAGGAAAATACTCCGTAGTGTATTTTCGATGAACTGCTGATTGATAATTTGATGTTTTCATTGTAATTCAAAAGAGGGCAAGGTAAGTCACATTGCTACTCCAAAAATAACCTTGGAGAAATCTCAGGTTCCCTGTTTTTTATTTTTTTATGTATTGCTACATTAAACTCTCTGAAATCTGAGTAGCTAGGATGCAATATTGTCATGCAAAAGCAACTTTGAATGAAGAACTGCAGTTGCTTACCAAGATACATATGCATTAATTTATGTTGTTTCAGTACCTCTATAATGCATAATTGGACTGACATGATCCGAATCTGATCTAGAGCTTTGAACTACCTGTTTGCAGCCTTATGTAACCTATGATTGTGGTGAACATTTGAGATTAAAGATAAAATTGCGAAGTTTCGAGGGTGAAAGAGGGGGAGGGAAAGGTGGTACTACTTGGAGGAATTGAACTAAGAGAAGATAGAGAGTGATGTCGAAAAAAAATGAGGTGCTACTGTCCCGTTTGCTCTGATAGTAACGACGTTTGTTGAAAATTAAATGGGCCCACTTAACGCCTATATTCCGTCAGTTAAGGATGAACATTACAATTCAATATAAAACTAATATTTGCCAATCAGCCTGATTGACTGGGTTTGACTCTAGATCACACATAAACTTTAGGTATACACACAAAGTACTTGAACTATGCTACTATGTTTCAGTAGTTGTTAGAATTTGGCCTGACTGTATTTACTGAAGAGGATTAAAGATATGTAATGACTCAAATAAGATAAACACTAAAGAGTACCAATGAACAAATCTGATTATCATCTACTACGTAAAGCAACCAATCATTGAGGACAGGCATAAGATAATCACTCGAGTGAACTCCAGTGAACCTATAACGTAGATGGTGTAGTTTCTTAATAGCCCCCGTGTCAGCAGAATGCCAAATAACCCAATGAGGAGGAGGAAAAAACAGGCCTGTGTATATAGGATTCTTCAGACTCATAAAATGCCTAACACCTTTATGCCATTTTGCTAATTTATACAAGCTTAACCAGATGGGATAATTGGCATAGTTTACCTGAAGATGATTCACTGTCACATAGTGGGTATACAAACCATGTCCTCTTGGATGGTCGTCAGCGTTGCCCATGAAAAAGATGAAGTTTGGTTTCTATGGAATTTTGTTAGCTGCCAATGCTAGAGAAAAGGAGACAAAACTCCCTATGAAGAAGATTGAATCCCCTAAAGACTCCACCCTTTCCCACTCTTCTTTGAGCACAAAAATATTAAAGTCCTATTGGCAAAATGGACCATTGTGGTGGCTGTTTCAACTAGAGCTGTCAAAAGTTGACCCGACCCGAAATACAGACTCAAACCCGATTATTAACCGACCCATCTGAACCCGAAAAAATGGTGACCCAAACCCAACCTAACCCGACATGAAACCAACCTTAGACCCGAGTTGACCCGAGTATGTGAGACCCGAACCCGAACATTAACTGACCTGGAGATGACCCGACCCAAATGTAACCCGTAAATTATTGACCTGAATCGAACCCGACTTGAACCGAAATTGACCCAAACCCATTTTATCCCGTCAAAACCCAAATTTAACCCGACTTGTTACTAGCCTGACCTGAATTCAACCCGACTCGTTCCTAACGCAACCCGAATTTAACCCAACCTGTTACAAACCCGACCCGAAATCAACTCGACTTGTTATTGAAGTGACCCAAATTCAACCCGACTTGTTATTGACCCGACCCGAATTTTACCAGACCTATTACTAACCCGACCCAAAAATTCAACCCGATTTGTTACTAAACCGACTTGAAATCAACACGACTTGTTATTAACCCGACCTAAATTCAACCCAAATTGTTCCCGACCCGATTTCAAATCACCTTAAATGCAATTTAGACCACCTTATTATTGTTGATTAGAGCATTTTGTCTAGGGAGACCAAGTCGGTCCAGGCCAACAAAAGAAAATAAAATTTCAATTTTGGAATTTTTGGACTTTTATTCGCTAGGAAATAAAATTGTCGTAAATGTTTATAATGGTCCCTAATATCCTTTGGGAGTACATCTGGCTGGGTGGAACCATCCAATTTGCCTTTAAACAACTGATTAACCGGTTTACAACTTGCACCGATTTCATCAACTCAAGCCTACCATGTACATTTATGACAACGAATAATGATCATATATGCCCGAAATGTATTCCCTAAAATTTCAAGACTTTTCGACACTAGACCCTGAAACCTCCAAAAAATTCTCAAAAAGCGTGGATAATAGCCTTCAATTTTGGAATTTTTTAAATTTTTTTCGCCCGGAAATACCGAAATGTTTACCATGGTCCCTAATACAACCCGGGAGTCCAATTGGGTGGGTGGAACCAACCAATTTGCCTATAAACGGCCAATTTACCGATTTAAACTTGCACCGATTTCATTAACTCAAGCCTACCACGAACATTTATGACAACAAATAGTGATCAAATATGGTTCCAAACGATATTATGTGACCCCGAGATTTATTCCTTAAAATCTCAAAGCTTTTCGATACCGGGCCCCGAAACCTACAAAATTTCTCAAAAAGCGTGGATATTAGCCTTTAATATTGGAATTTTTAGACTTTTTTTCGCCCGAAAATAATAATTGCCGAAATATTTAACATGGTACCTAATATCCTTCGGGAGTCCAATTGGGTGGGTGGAACCATCCAATTTGCCTTTAAACGACCAATTTACTGGTTTACAACTTGCACTGGTTTCATTAGCTCAAGCCTACCACGAACATTTATGACAACAAATAATGATCATATATGGTTCCAAACATCATTATATGACCTCGAGATGTATCCCTTAAAATTTCAAAACTTTTAGGTACCGGGCCCCGAAACCTCCAAAATTTCTCAAAAGCGTGGGTATTAGTCTTCAATTTTGGAATTTTTTGACTTTTTTCGCCCGGAAATAAAAATTGCCGAAAAGTTTTTCATGGTCCCTAATACCCTCCGGGAGTCTAATTGGGTTGGTGGAACCATCCAATTTGCCTTTAAACGGCCAATTTAATAATCGGTTTACAACTTGCACAGATTTCATTTACTCAAGCCTACTACGAACATTTATGACAACATATAATGATCATATATGGTTCCAAACGACATTATATGACTCCGAGGTGTATCCCCTAAAATATTAATACTTTTCTACAACGGGCCCCGAAACTTCCAAAATTTCTCAAAAAGCGTGGATATTAGCCTTCAATTTTGAATTTTTTTTATTTTTTACGCCCGGAAATAAAAATTGCCGAAATTTATACCATGGTCCCTAATACCCTCCGAGAGTCCAATTAGGTGGTTGGAACCATCCAGTTTGCCTTTAAACGACCAATTTACGGGTTTACAACTTGCACCAATTTCATTAACTCAAGCCTACCAAGAACATTTATGACAACAAATAATGATCATATATGGTTCCAAAATATGACCCTGTGATGTATCCTAGAGAATTTCAAGACTTTTCGACATCGGGCCTCAAAACCTCCAAAATTTCTCAAATAGCGTGAATATTAGCCTTCAATTTTGGAATTTTTGGACTTTTTTTCGCCCGGAAAATAAAAATTGTTGAAATCTTTACCATGGTTTCTAATACCCTCTGGGAGTCAAATTGAGTGTGTGGAACCATTCAATTTTCTTTTAAATGGCCAATTTACCGGTGTACAACTTGCACTGATTTACCAATTAACAACATCCAATTTAATTTCCTTGCACCGAACCCGACTTGAACTGAAATTGACCCAAATCCGTTTTAACTCGTCAAAACCCGAATTTAACCCGGCTTGTTACGAACCTGAGCTAATCGAATTCAACCCGACCGTTCCTAAACCGCCCCGAATTTAACCCAACCTGTTACAAACCCGACCTGAAATCAACCCGACTTGTTATTGACCTGATCCAAATTCAACCCAACTTTTTATTGACCCGACTCGATTTTTACCATACCTATTCCTTACCAAACCCAAAAATTCAACCCGATCTGTTACTAACCTGACTCGAAATTAACACAACTTGTTATTGGCCCGACCTAAATTCAACCCAAATTGTTCCTGACCCGATTTCAAAACACCTAAAATGCAATTTAGACCACCTTATTATTGTTGATCAAAGCATTTTGTCTTGGGAGACCAGGTTGGTCCAAGCCAGCAAAAGAAAGGAGCATCATCATCCTCAAATTTAAGAGTTAAATATAGTATATATTTGTTGTATGGTTAAAGGAGATAATTATCTTCATAAATTATAGACTATATTTCCCTACTATATTGCCATATATATTATAGTTAAAGGAAATAATTAGCTTGATAAAAATGATTACTATCTATTTATAGTTAGTTGAACTTGAATATGACCTGACTTGGAAATGACCCGACATGATTGTAACCTGCAAATTGTTGACTTGAACTTAACCCGACTTGAATCTGAGAATGACCCGACTTGGAAATGACCCAACCTGATTATAACCCGCAAATTATTGACTTGGACCGAACCCAACTTGAACTCGAGAATGACCTGACTTGAAAATGACCCGACCTGATCTGATTATAATCCGCAAATTATTGACTTGAACCGAACCTGACTCAAACCCGAGAATGACCCGACCTAATTCTCACCCGCAAATTATTGACTTGAACCAAACCCGACTCGAACTCGAGAATTACCCTAACCCGTTTTAACCCGTGAAAGCCCGAATTAAATCCATCCTATTGTTCACCCGACCCGAATGTAACCCGATTTGTTATTAACTCGACCTAAACCCGACCCAAACCCGATAAGAGGTATGACCCGACGTGACCCGATTCAAGCATGACCCAACCCAAACCCGACCCGTATAGGTTATGAAATATTCGAGTTGACCCGACCCGAGTTGACCCAACCCACTCTTACCCGACCCGTTTACCCGAATTGACAGCTCTAGTTTCAATCACAAGGACAAAATAACCATTTGAAGGCACCAAATACATAGTATAAGGACTATAAGGTGCTTGCAGCAGACCATCAGGGCCGGCATATATTTCACTTGTACAGAAGCTAGATCAAGATCAATGACTCCAATCCTGCATGTATTTAACTTAAAAGCATAGAAATACCCATTATGAAAGGCAATCTCACCAATCTTGCATTGTTTGTCTCCAAGGATTTTCCCGGTAGAATACACACCTCTCTTATCCAACCTCAAGAAAATCATCCAATCCAATCCACTTTGAGGGTCTTTAAGATGAATCAAACTGCAAACCTCAACCTCCCACCACTTTTTTTTGACACCAGTTTTGTTGATGTAATAGATGTAGCAGTTACAATGTTAGAGACTGCCACAAAGGATCTCCAAGAACTGCAAACCACCCGAAATAATACGTACTAATATTACGGCGACATAATTAGTTTTATTACAAAACTAAAATAACTTTAACCTAAACTAAATTAAATAACGTTTCATGAAACAAACCTTGAATTAAAATATTATTGTGTTGTGAAATTTAACGTTTCTTAAACAGTAATACAATGATAATTCTTCATTGTTTTTTTTTTCACACTTGTTGATAATTAGTATACTACTGATGTACTCAAATTGGAACATCTGACAAAATTGATATGGAATATTATTGTTAAACACATTAAGTACATTTGGTTTTGAAATTATTTCCTTCAAATCTTTAGTTAATTTTTGTCTAATTAAATAGGAATTAAAAAAAAATCAAATGAATCAAAACTCAGAAGTCAAAACATTTTTTTTCAACGAGACAATGTCACATAGTTGTATAGCCGCAAAGTAATGTTTGGGGTGAAAACTCATATACTAAGAATATATCGTTGAGGGTCTTGCGAGAACTGAAGTCAATGGAACTGCCACAAAGTATTAAGTAGGGTTTAATTAGATTCGTAACAACGTGAAGTTGATGAAACTACAAAAAAGGTTCCTTGTTAGATTTGGGAAACAAATAATCATCGTATACGATTGATCAAATACAAATAATAATAATAAACAAAATAATAAAATTATGAAAATAGGATATTATGAGGTTAGATGGTTGATAATTGTTTTTAGAGATGAAATGTGAATAGTTTAAAAAAAAATCATCTTGATTCACGCATCATGTATAATACAATCTCCGTTTCTTTTTAGTTGACACGTATTCTTTTTTAGGAATTTTTTTTTTAGTTGACACGTTTCCTTTTAGGGTAAATTTTTTACTTTGCATTTACAAACTACCCCACTTGTTTTTTCATTCTCTCTCTCCTCTTCTTAATATATGTGCCTAAATCAAACGTGTCAATTAAATAGAAACGAAGGAAGTATATGATTAGTATATTGTTACAAAACACAAGTAATTTAATAGATTTTGAAATATGTTGGCAATCATGCATCAATTCCTTAAATTATTCATGTTGATTAATATAGTAGACTCATTCAACTGAGTTAAAAAAATTCCCTACATTAGGTTCTTGAATGCTTGGAAAATATTCTCCAAGAGTCTTCTTAATTTCATTTTGAGCTTTGACTATCGACTGGAGATTTTTTTACTAGCTCTGTTATTGCCCACTCTAAGGTGCTTGCAGTAATGTCCGTTCTAGCATTAAAGATGTCCTGCCATTTGATGTGTTGTAGTTTCATTATCTTATTATGTTAACTTAAGAGTCAAAACATAGGAAAATAACAATATAGTCAAAATCATTTTTTTATTTTATTTTTTTTGAAACCAGTCAAAATCATTATTTAAACAAAAGTTAGTTTATTGTAATTATTATGAAATTAAATATTTAAATGGCGATGATCAGTGTAATACACAATACTTTACCCTTCCTTCCTTCCTTTTTTTTTTTTTTTTTTTTGAGAGAGAGAGAGAGAGTTTTACCCTTTTTAATTTCAATAAAAATTATTTTGATAAATCAGTTTGTTTGCCTTCAACGAGTAAAAGAAATGGTGTAAAAAGTCAAATATTGCACAGATTTAGATATGGAGAAAGGCTAAGCTTTAGTCACTTTTAATTGGATATGATTTCACAGGTTTGTCACTTTACCTGTTGAAATAACAATAAAACAATTGTTGTAAAAGCTTAATATGCATGATATATTTGATATTTTAATAATTAAATATGAATCCATATCCAATAAAAGATGTCTCTTTTACGAGCAAAACATGGTGCTTTCTAACTAAAGTTGGGCCAAAGATTATGAAAAGACTGTCATTAGTTACATTAATCTGTACTTAAATCACATGAACCCCATGATTGCTATACGAATAATAATTAAGAATTGTACTAATTCAAGTTATTTTTCTTTACCAATTATATATGGTACAGGATATAGTTCCATTTAGCTTTGTCTAGCAGAAAACTTGAAAGTATCACTAATTTATTAATTATAAGGAATTAATAGAAGGATTGCTTTTAAGCTTGATTCTTTATTTAGCAAAATGCTCAGTACTAGATTTAAGAAAATATTTTTTTATATAAACTTGGTGGAAAATAATTATTATTCCACACATTCTGATTCCATACTCTTTGTAAATATGGAGTACTTTTTTTTGCTAGTGATCGAGTTAGTAGATTTTAAACTCGCTTTATAAGATTTAACGTTTTTAGTATAGGTACAAATTTATCCAACATTATTTAGGACAAAAATTGATGTCATAGATTTTAAACTCGCTTTATAAGATTTAACGTTTTTAGTATAGGTACAAATTTATCCAACATTATTTAGGACAAAAATTGATGTCATAGATTTTAAACTCGCTTTATAAGATTTAACGTTTTTAGTATAGGTACAAATTTATCCAACATTATTTAGGACAAAAATTGATGTCATAGATTTGTGTTGTGCCCGAACATGATGTTAGGCGGTTTTTTTACTCTAATTTTTCTAATTAATACGAAGTAATAGTTTTTGTATTTTTCAAATCTAATGTATTACATGTATGACTTATATATTTTGTATCATTATCAAATATTCTTCAACAATAAATTTTTAAATTAAGATAGGTAATTTATTTATTGAGACTAGCTTGATAGAATATATTCAAGATATTATGACTACGTATGGCAGCTATATATTCCACCACCATCATATAGTACTCATCTATCAACCATAATGTTTCATCTTGAATCTAATTCCAAATTTGTCACAAAGCATTAAGTTTTGAATTTTTCTTTTTAATATACATATTTCCGAGTAAATAAGAAAATTTCAATGATCAAAAGCGTTGACTCTAGTTAATATTCTCCTCTAGTTGATACTTTGTATATTCTATATGGAAAGTAATAGATCGGAGTAAGTTATACAATTTTAATTGCTCCCTTCGTCCACAAATTTAAGATTCATATTCATCTTTTGTACAAGTTTTTATAACGTGGGTGATTTAAATAATAAGATGATGAGTTTTTGTTGATTTATAGTGAACAAAATACTTTGCAAAACAATAAAATTTGTAGATCGGGAATTAAAAAAAGATCGGCTGTATTTTGGAAATTGCGTGTTTTCCCAACATTATTTAGGGGAACGGCTCTAGAATTCAATTGATTAATTGTGAATAAATTTTAAAAAATCTAAATGTTAAATTGAACATTTATTAAGAGACAAAATTATTAAGTGAAATAAGACTATTATTTGAAGAACGTGCATTCACTAATAAGAAAAATCTTGCAAAGTTACAAATAATATCACATCAAATTATCATCCATACTTTTAAGTTTGTAGTAGTGTAATAGTACGTGTATCACTAATACACTGTACACTATTATAAATATCATGTTAATAATAGTGTTAACCATGATTTTGAGACATAAAAACACAATAATGCACCACTAATACACATTTAAGCCACAACTTAAATATCTTATGATACACATACAACCATTCACTTCACTTCTCATCCAAAACAATTTCTCTCATAAAAACTCTTACACTTACTATTATGAGCAACCAAAAACACCATCACCTCCTTCTCATTGTTGCCTCGGCACAAGGCCACTTAAACCCCACTCTTCAACTTGCCAAGTGTCTCACACGCGCCTCCCCCTCCTTACACGTCACCTTCGCCACCACGGCCAATGCCCGTGATCGTATCAACCTCCCCTCCACGGGATCAAACCTCGACCATCTATCCTTTGCAACTTTCTCAACGGGGTTTGATGATGGCATTAAGCCATCGGATGACCCGAAGACCGTGGCCAAAACAGCCAAGCGCGTGGTATCCACCTCCCTACATGATCTCATCATCGCCCTCTCTAATCAAGGCCGTCCGATCGACCTTTTGATCTATTCCTTAATGCTCCCTTGGGCTGCTGACGTGGCGCGTGAGCTTCACGTGCCCTCGGCTTTGTTGTTCATCCAATCAGCAACCACCTTTGCTATTTATAACCGCTGCTTTAACGGTAATAACAGAAATGATAATAAAAGCCCTCAAATTTCCATAGAATTACCGGGTTTGCCACTGTTTGAAAGTACTGATCTTCCTAGTTTTCTTTTGCCCTCAAGTCCACACTATTTTGCTGCACCCACTATTGAGGATCACATCAGAGCCCTTGAAAAAGATCCCAATCCAACGGTCCTCATTAACTCATTCGATGCACTTGAAGAATCCGTGTTAATCAATGCCGTTGATCATGATCGTGATCATCGTGTAAAGATGATCACCATCGGACCGTTGATTCCTTCTGCCTTTTCGGATATGATTGATCCGTCCGATACATCGTACGGCTGTGATTTGTTTGAGAGGTCTAGGGAGTACTTAACTTGGTTGGACAACAAAGTAGAGAAGTCGGTTATATACGTGTCATTTGGGAGCATGGCCGTTATGAAAAGGAAGCAAATTGAGGAAATATTGCATGGGCTTGAATTAACGGGCCGACCTTACTTGTGGGTAGTTAGGCCCATGACCCATAATAAGATTGTGGGGGATGAAGATGAGGTTGTTATAGATGATCTAGTTAAAAACGGGCTTGGGCCGTTTGGTAGTAACCCGAATGAAAAAGGGTTGATTGTGCCTTGGTGCTCCCAAGTGGAAGTACTAAGTCACCCTACAATAGGGTGTTTTGTGACACACTGTGGATGGAATTCGATATTAGAAGGTTTAGTCACGGGAGTGCCAATGGTGGGGGTCCCACAGATATCGGATCAACCTACCAATGCAAAGTTGGTGGAGGAGGTATGGCGAGTTGGAATAAGAGCTAAAAAGAATAACGGAGAGGGTACTATTGTGGACCGAGAAGGGGTCAAACGGTGTGTGGAGACCGTAATGGGAGATGAAGAGATTGGACAAGAGATAAGGAGAAACACAAAGAAGTGGATGGAGTTGGCCCTAGAAGCAATTATGGAAGGGGGTTCTTCCAACAATAATCTTGAATGTTTCTTAGAGGGCCTTCAAAATAGACAACTACAAGAGGAAGTAATTTACCAAATGGAAGGGCCCTTAAAAGATAAAGAATTACTAATTGAGGAGAAAATAATTGAAAATGGGGAACTTTTTGAAAAGAAAAGTTGCATGCAAGAGAAAAGAGTAGCACCTTATCAACTTTTAGAGAAGAATATTGATTCCCTTGGAGATGGAAATCATAGGAAAGCTAAGGATAACGAACTTTTATGTAAAGAAAACATTGCTTGAAAGTTTAAAATCATGGATTTAGGTATGTATTGATGTTTCTAATTAAGGGATTTATTTAAAGAATCAAGCTTTCATAGCTTAAGAATCTAATTTTCCAAGAAGGAATAATATTTTATTTTTTACTTATAAATGTGTTTTAGACTTTTAGTATTAGTTATTTAGTTGCCATGATATTATGGGTTTTGTCACAACGAAAACTCAACGATAGATGATAATTGTGTTGAAATTCACTTTGAGCAACCGATTTTTAGTGTAATTAGTGATGTTTGTAACCAGTTTTATTGTAAATGCATGGTTGTAACTTATTGTTCCATTTAATTAGCTTGCCTCTTTTATAATTTATGATACGAGGGGATCGGATCATCATCACCAATAAACTAATTTTTTTTTTTTTTTTTTTTTTTTGAAAACACTAATATCTTTTATATAACTACACAATCAATTTTACAATTTTTAATGACAAGCTTCTAAACTCTTAATCCTTAATTCCTATTACCTGTTCTTTTATTTTTAATTTTATTTTTTGATTTTTAAACAACTATAACTTATCATAACTTTCTACATCAACACAATAACTTCCTTTAATATACATTAATCTTTGCATATCAAATTTGAGAAGAAAAAAAAATCAATTACAATAACCGATGAATCAATAATTAATACATTCCGTGATTTAGCATGCATATGCTCTAATAGAAATGAATAGAGCGGCTAATAATTTAATATAATCAATATAGAAATTTATGTAAGTTTACATGAAAAAAAAGTCATACTCCGTATAAGTCAATACGTCATACAAGTATAGTGTTAATCCAAAATTTTAAAAATGATCTCCATACAAATTTCATAACCCCCAATTTTACTGGCCATCGTGAATGTGTTGGGTTCGTGTTAGGATTGTGCCATATCGAATCATTTTCGTGCCACCCCACCTCATGGCCGGCTTTATTATACTCCGTAACACTGTTTACTTGTTGTACTTGTTCTTAAATTATTTCTAATCTTCTATTCTTCTTCCCTCCATTTTTAAAACTCAGAAAAAAAGGAAGCTCACAATTCACAATTTCAATTAGGTACGTCAATTTCTAGGGTTTAGTCTTAGTTTTCTGAATCGAATAATTCTTGTTTGATTGACCTCAAAACCTTATTATAATTTTCTTTTATTGTACTAATTGTATTTCTTATTTTTGTGATGTTCTTGCGTTTGATTTTGTTTCTATATTCATTCCATTTTTAATTAATTTTGTCTTGTCCTGAATGAAGAATGTGATTTTGAGTACATATTTCAATTGTAATTATAAATTATTTCAATTTAATTTCTTCTTCATGAATGAGTGAGTTCTTGAGAATATTTGCTTTATCGTGAATTTTGGTTAATTGAATCGAAAAAACAGAAATTGTAATTGTACTTATTGTATTTCTTAATATTTTGATGTTCTTGCGTTTGATTTTGTTTCGATATTTATGCTGTTTTAGTTAATTTAGTCTTGTCCTGTAGAATGTGATTTTGAGAGTACATATTTCAATCGTAATTGTCCATGATTTTCAATTTTTCATTCTTACATATTCAATTTGAGTGTGTTCTTGAGGATTCTTGATTCATCTTAAGACATATTTTAGATTTGTAGTGCAATTGATATGAATGTTGCTTTTGTGGGTAGTGAATTTTGGTTAATTAAATCGAAAAACAGACACTTTAATCTCAATTAACCCGATTATATGATTATGATTCCTTATTCTTATTGATAATTTCAATCTAGGTTTCTTGGAAATTTGTGATTATGACGATTCCCATGAAATTCAAGGATTAGCAATTTACCCGATAATATATTACAACACATTCTTTCATTCCTTCCTACGAAAGAGGCTGTGGCTACTAGTGCTTTGTCGAAGCGATGGAAGAGGACTTACACCTGGTTATCACGCCTCGAATTCGATGACTTGCCTATATGAAAAGTCCACAATCCACATATGATTGATTATTCCCATGTTTTTGAGATGTATGTTGATAACGTATTGAAAAGATCTCAATCTCGCAATATAACCTCTTTTAGACTTTGGGGGTCAGTGTGAGATCAACTTAGCGTATACAAAATGCAATCAAGGTTGTTGCCCTGATATGGAACCTATGCGTTTGAATGCCTGGTTAACTTTTCCCTTAATCAACAATATTTGGTTGTGGGACACTGGAGTTGTTGAAGCTTAATGTCAATCTTCATCTCGACGTGCCTTTGTCTGTGTGTTTGCCAAACCTGAAAGAGTTTAATCTCACTTTAATCTGCTGCTTCCCGGATAATGACTCTGTGACTAGGCTAGTTTCGAGCTGTCCATCCCTTCAACGCCTTAGTTTAATGTTTATACCATTGGAGGCAGAAGGAGTAAGGTTGAGTTTAATGTTTCTAACTTGGAGTATCTAGATTATACTGACACATATCCAAGGAGCTACTCTATAGCACGTCTGAATGCTCTAGTTGAAGCGGACATTGAAGTGTATGATGGTGATGAAATTGTGCTGGACCTTGTCTGTTCGATGTCTAATGTTCAGCGTTTCTCTGTAAATGGTTCCATTGTATATGTGCGTCCTTTTATCCCTTTCATCCTTATTATGAGTTCTGACTAGGCTTCAAATATACTATTTTGTTACTTCGTATAGTATTGCCTAACTGATTTGTGCTTTGGTCTAGGGTTTGAATCTTGTAGATGCTTCTGAACTCAAGAGTAAGTTGCCAGTCTTTCGAAATCTGAAACGCTTGAAGCTTGGTTGTTTTGGCCTTCAGGATTGGAATAAATTGGTGATGGAGCTACTAAATTGTGCGCCTTTCTTAGAAAAACTTACCTTGACGCTAGTAAGTGTGAAGTTGGATTTTTTTATTACAGACTCTCAAAAGTGACTAGCACTATATATAATTATTGTATTTACAGAGGCTCTTCTGATTTACAACTGCATATTATTACTCATATAATTGTTGCTAAGTGTCTGACTTCATCTCTCATATTTTCAGGGAATGTCAGGCTTGGAGAAGAACTCAAACAGTACCAGCTTGTTTGGTGTCTCATTTCAAAAAGCTTGTAATAAAGGAATACGCGCATTTAGAATGGGAACTGGAATTCATCAAGTATTTTATGAGAAGCTCATTAGTGTTGGAGGAGTTGGTGGTTGTACTTTGGACTAGTTCTAGTTCAATTACACAGGACGCAAGGACATATTATGAGAAGCTACCAAGAGCCTCGACTGCTTGTTCAGTAAAAATCAAGCTACCAAGAGCTAGCCTAGTGAAGGTGTTGTTTGTTACCCAACAGAAGTCACAATTCATGGAATTATAACTTCCCACAAAAACCCGCGAATTTATTCACCCACCCCACTCTCGGTAATTCTCAATTCCTAGGATTTTAATGTGATAACCAAACACACCAATGCAATTCCTTCCTATAATAAACAAGTAAAGTAATTTCCAATCCAGTTCTGAATCTATGCTGTGTAACTGTGTTGTTAACAGGATGGGTAAAACAAAGCGAAAGGCGGAATCATTGCAGCCCTGCTCAACAAAGAGGAAGGAGTTAAAAAGGGATGGGCTAGTTGCTACAGGAGACGAGGAAGAGCGTGGCGAAAAGGAGTTGAATTCCATACAAAATGAAGAGGACTTTAATTTATGCTGCATTCCTGTGATACATACTTGTAAGGATGCAGGAGCAGGCGTAACTTTTGTTCTGGAAAAAGCTTCATTGACTCTTGCTTATATCGGGAAAGTAAGTGGATTTTCAGACTGATGTTGTGTCTTTGCTTTGAGATTAACTAGTCGGATCAGAATTTCTGTTGTTAACTGAAAAGAACTAATCACTTTATATCTTCCTTCAGAGGTACCAAATAGTATCCTCGAATCATCATGCTGATTTTTTACGAAAGAAGAAAATGAATCCTTACATTTACAGGCCTGACATAGTCCATCGGGTTTGTAGGATTTTCCTTTCCATCCGCTGTAAATGTAATTTTTTCATATTTATTGTATCTCTTCCACCAAGCAATCCTGAACTTCAACTTTGTTTAATTGATAATATTTTAGGCACTCCGTAAAATTATGGCTAGTCGACTTTGTAAGGATGGTAGGCTGAAAGCAGTGTACATCCGGACAGAGGACGGAGTTCTGATCAAAGTAGAACCATATGTTAAGATACCAAGGCAATTAGAAGTTTTCTGTGATATGATGGGTTAGTTCTTTCCCTCTGAGTGATATTGATGTTGTTATAATATCGAAGTTTTTGCTTTTGTTTCATATCGTCAAACATGTCTCTTCTAATGAACACTAACTGCTACAGCTGAATTACTGCAAGCGCTCAGCATCAAAGCCAAGGGTAGCCGTAAAAAGCTTCTGCGTGTGGTGGCCAATCCCGTGACTAAGTATTTATCTCCCACATCACATAAGATAGGTAAGTCTAGATGAGATAATGGGAAATTCCCTGTTTCTCATGGTGAGAAACGAAATTTATTTCTCATGGGGCCATTTTCGTGAATAAATCAACAACTTTTTCATTATTGTGGGCTCCACAGTTGAATAAAGTTGTTGGTTTATTTACGAAAAATGCCACATGAGAAATTGGGGCATCCTCTGAGATAATGCTAGTGAAAATTTGTTTACTTTGGAATTTTGTTGATCAGTATGTTTTGCTGCTTTAGGTCTTTCATACAGCTCAGAGAACGCTGTTGATATACGCGAATATATCAATGGAATCAGTAGCGATGAAGATGTTGTGTTTGCGGTAGGTTCATTTATTTTATTTGGTAAACTCATTAGTCGGTATATGCTTTTTCTTTATTTGCTTCTGATTAACCCCCTTGAGAATTTCAGGTAGGTGTGATGGCACATGGTAAAATTGATTGTGATTACATTGAGGATCTTGTATCAGGTATTGTGCTTATTTCGGCTCCTTGTTTTTTGTGAGTTTATGTTACCATTGAGACAATAATAGACCATTTGACATAGACAAGTAGTGACTTGAATGCAGGGTCAAAATCTTTTATCACATTTGACAATCCAATCTGATAAGAGGAAAATTCGCGAATAAGATGTTGAAAAGATTAATAACCCTGCATTCAAACTATGTACCAGTTGCAAAAGAAACCCTTAAAACTGGTACATTTAACCACAAAAGGAAAGAGTGATGAATTTATACTGAGCTTTATTATCTACATATCACTAATCAGAATAAACTCTGACCACTACATCAGGGATAGATCTTGAACAAAAAAGGATATGATAAAAGTGGAAGACGAACAACACTGAACTGCTGAAACAAGAACATGGAAGGTGCAAACCGAGATCAAGAGAGACTTTGCTGGAAATCAAAGCCGAGTTTGCAACATTAAATAAAATATAAAATAAACAACTCTTTCACTGTAACTGTCCTACATTCAATGTCCCCTTTCAAGATAGGCTATACATATTTATCACAAGTTTGTGCTTTTCGGTGCAAATTTCCACTAACATTGATTAATTATGGTCATTTTTCACCCTCGATGATATGTATTCAAGGTGAATTGAGATGGCAGAAGAGATATGATGCTGAGCACAATGTACATGACTGATAAAGAGCAATTGGTGACTTGAAAATATACTTCCAAAAAATACTTATGTTGGTCAGCAGCAGAAAACACTAATAATTACGTATTCAAAAAATACTTCCAAAGCATTCATCAAGGCCCTAAGAAAAATTGGATTAGAATTAAGCTGGTAGCTTTTGCTACTTTTCAATATCACCTGGATACCTAGACCGGCTTTTCTATATCCGGGAACTTGATACTAATGCATCTATTTAAGATTTAGAGGCTAACTATGAGTATAAAGGAAAAATCACTTCGTGCTATCGTATCAGGTACTTACTTGGTACATGCCAAGAATAGTATTAGCAGTACCAATATCAGTATAGTTACAAAAATTACCTGAAATATAGTCAGTTGTGGAGTCCCTGCTAACTTTACCATGGACCATTGTACCCACCTGAAGTCACAAGTGAACACATGAGCTATATATTCAACATTTCCATGAAGAATAAAGAATGCATAATCACAAAGGATGAAAATTATAGATACAAAAGCAAAAAAGAGATGGTGAAAAATACCACAAAAACAAGGTCTGAATCATCTTTAGTAGCAGAAAGATAATCCTCTATGTCAACCACCTTTTCTGAACTATAAGATAACCCTAGAAAGCAAACAATTACTTTGGTAACCATCATTGTTTTCACGATTATGTTACACAATTAAAATAGAAATAAACAGAAACCCACCAATTATTTGAGCATTTTCAGGTATATGCTGCTCCGCTGGTTTTTTAAGGACTTGAAGAAGTACTTCTCCTGAATCTTTAGCACGAACGCAGGGCTTGACTTCAAAGTTAATACCGGAATCAGTTTTCACGTACACAGCTCCAACCATGCCAGCTTGGTTTAACGGGCTATCTAAAATTTCACGAAGGGCCTGGAAATAGAATAATATCAATGGCATAAATCTACAATCGACAAAAAAAATGATGACAAGCTTTACAGGGCGAACCAACTAGTTCAAATCCTGCAGAAGGCAAACATATGGTTGCAGGACACTATCAATGTATTAAAGGGCGTCTTTCCTTTTCCCCCTGCCCCCCTTCTTCGTGTATTTCTTCCTTATGGCTCCTTCAATCCCTACATTATCTCATCCCTTGGGCATGTCCACTAGCATATTGTAACACACACATTACACAATATTCTAGCCACATAAACAAACCAAGCTCAGTAAAAATAATAATATTAAGTAAATATAATATTAAAGAAAGAAAACACATTAAGGCCCTGTTTGATTCCCCTTAAAAAAAATAATATTAAGTAAATATAATTTCAGTTTAGTAAAAATAATTTCAGTTCAATAAAATTAATTTCAGTTCAGTAAAAATAATTTCAGTTCAGTAAAATTTAGTTTTCTTAAAGAAGAATTATAATAGAAAATCAGTAAAAATAATTTTAGTTCAGTAAAAATAATTTCAGTTCAGCAAAATTAAGGTAAATCAAACAGGGCCTAAGTCTCGTGTAAAGTGGGTGTACATTAGATTTATTGTAAGACAGGTAAGTTTGAGAGTAATAATGTACTCCATATTTGGGATTGAAGAAAGAAAAGTAGAAAACATATTAAGTCTTGTGTAAGGCTGGCTGCTAATAGGGATAAACTGTACCAAGGGGCTAGGGAAATAAAGGTACTTTTACGTGAAAGCTTAAATAGTACGAAAGTGATTGATTTAGTTAGGAAAAATTATCAAGAAAGGTCTCAAGGCTCTCAACTATTACTAGTTTTCTTTAAAAGGGTCAACCTGTTAATTATCTATAGACAAACCCAACTATTAGTCTATTACTAGTTCACACACTTGGACCTAGCCTGTATCCAACCTGCTATTGTACTCTCTCCGTGTTTTTTTAAGTGTTACACTTACCAAATCCTGCCGTGTTTTAATAAGTGTTACACTTCCTTTTTTGACAAAAAACTACAGTAAAACTATTAGAGCCAGCTTGATATAATGGTTGAAGTTATGCATTAGATAAACTATTAAGAAGGATCAAGTAATAAGGATAAAGTAGTCCAAGTTCAACTACTCATTTCAAATCTAGATAAAAACAAGAGTTACAGCAAACTCGCCAAAAAAAATGAACCTTAATCTTTAAGAGAAAACTCCTTAAAAAAACTACAAAACCCTATTTGCTAAATGCTAAGGAAGAAAACCGCGATGAATTAAACGAATTATAAATTATGCGATCTAACATTGTAACATATGGGTTGCTTTTCATATTGAAGGAGAAGAAAGTATGGGGTGTGATTGTGCTTCCATAGAAAACGAGCAATATTCATATCAAGAATCATTTTGAAAGGATTAGGAAAAATTCCTTGGTCGTAGTGTATTATGGGCATGTTCAACGATTAGCTTTAAAAAATTTTGTAAATTATTAACGTGACATGAGATGTCTAAAACGGATCGAATTAGAAAATGTTACTCACAACAAAGGTAATATAAACTCTTTTTTCTTCGTGGATGAAATTTTGAAACTACTTGTCATTAACTAAGTTAATAATACTAAGGGTAGGTAAATATCATACACTTATACATGGATATATGTCCACCAACTCTAGCTTGTTTCGATTTGTATGTCATCATATATTTTGACTTTAGAAATCATATTTATTGATTATTATAAGAACAATATTAACTTAAGAAGTTAAAGCCATTATAAGAACAAACATCATCAATCCCATTTTTGTGTTTTGGTACTTTATATCTCACACCTAAAGTTCCTCTTATATTTAACAAAGATCAAATACATTGTAGTTGAACAGTTTCTAACTAGATAAACTTCCATCTTTTCCTTATATATAACCTAACATGCATCATATCATTACATGAGTCTCTTAGGTTAGTTGATTGGAATCGTATAAGTAGAACGTATATTGATCGATCATCGATGCCCCTTTCGAGGATTCAATCTACAAGCATGACTAGTAATCTTGTTGCTATTTTGTTCTTCTCAACTATTATTGCTATTTCAAGTAAGATTTATTATAGAGTTACCAAATTCTACATTTTATATATGCTAATGTAACCTATAAACTTGTAATTTGTAACGTGTTTTATTTCATTTTTTGTAGGTGCTCAAACTTCTACACCTATTGACCGCATTGGTGTCAATTATGGGAAGCTAGGCAACAATTTGCCTACACCATTTCACTCCATAGAGCTCATTAAGTCCATGAAGGCTAGCATGGTCAAGCTCTATGACGCGGATCCTGAGACCTTGAAACTGCTAGTCGGAACTGATCTCCAAGTATCAATCATGGTTCGCAATGAGGAGATTATTGCACTCGCGGCCAATGAGACCCTGGCTAACCAATGGGTTCATGATAATGTCTTCGCGTACTACCCTACAACCATGATCCGGTACATCATGGTTGGAAATGAAGTCTATAGTAACCACAATATTGAACAATGGGATAGCCTAGTCTTAGCCATGCAACACATTAGGAACACGTTACATGCCCATGATATACATAACATTAAGGTTGGTACACCCTTAGCCATGGACATTTTAGGCTCAACTTTCCCACCATCCAACGGAACATTTCGTATTGATACATTAACAACTATTGTACCTCTCTTACAGTTCCTCAATAGGACTGGTTCTTACTTTTTTCTAGACGTTTATCCCTACTTTCCTTGGTCATCTAATCCAGACACTATAGATTTAAATTTCACGTTATTTAAGGGAAACATTACCTATGTTGATCCTACAAGTAACTTAACCTATACCAATCTCCTAGACCAAATGCTAGACTCGGTGTATTTTGCTATGTCAAAACTAGGATTTTCAAACATACCAATATTTATAGCCGAAACCGGGTGGCCTAACCAAGGTGACCTAGACCAACCCGGTTCAAATGAATATAATGCAGCTACCTACAACAGGAACCTTATAAAAAAAATTGTAACAAACCCACCCATAGGCACACCGGCTCGACCCGGGACCATAATACCCACATTCTTATTCTCTTTGTTCAATGAGAACCTCAAGGATGGGCCGAAAACCGAGCGGTATTGGGGCCTTTTGAAGCCCGATGGATCACCCGTTTACCCGATTGACCTGACCGGAAACCGAACTGATTTTGGGCCCTTGAAAGAGCCCACAAACAACAATGGCTACAAAGGTAAGTTATGGTGTGTGGTAGATAAAATGGCCAATATAACTCAACTTGGGCCTGCATTAAGGAACACTTGTGGCCTGTTAAATGGGACCTGTGAATTAGCTCTTGGGCCTGGAAAACATTGCTATGAGCCTGTGTCTGTTGTTTCGCATGCAAGCTATGCTTTTAGTGCTTATTGGGCTAAGTTCAGAAATTGTGGCGAACCGTGTTACTTTGGTGGGCTGGCCTCTCTCACTACTCGTAACCCAAGTGAGTTTTCCGCATACTAGTTTAAATTAAACAGGAAAAACCTTTAAAGACAGACGGGATACTTTGTTTTTGTTATACAGCATATATATGGTATGTAATGTTGACTTTTTCGCTTAATCCTTGTCCTCATGATAATTAATCTTTGTGCAGGTCATGGTACTTGTCATTTCCCAAGTGTTTTACTATGAAGATCACCAGCATAGCAGCAAATGAAGATTAATTAGGATAAAATTCTTATTATTCAATTAAAGATTTGTAGTAACTTTAGGAGTATGGAAAATTTAAGAAATTATCCATTGATGATTTTATCCTTTCTAGGTTTGGGGAGTAGTAGCGTTAAGATTAGGATCATTGATTGAAGGTAAAGTTAGCCAATGTAATACATGAGTTATGAATAACATTTTGGGAAATTCTCAATGGTGCTCTTGAGGTTTTTCTTTTTCTCAATGGTAAACAGCAAAAAAACAAATTATACTTGGTAATCATGAAATTATTACATAAAGTTATTTATAACATTAATGATAGTTTTGTATTAAAAGTTAACTATGGTTAGGTTTATTTTAATTTTTTACAATTAAATAAAAGTTTAGAAAAAAAAAAACAAAAGTCAGCCACCACCAATTGCCAACCTTCCTCCCTGCCATGGTGCCACCATTGACGCCACATCTGCCGACACCCAGACCTTGACTCCACCCTCGCCGGCGCGCCGGCCTTCCCAGCAGTCGTCCCTCCCCTAAACCAACGCCCCATCCCCCAAACCCCCTCTTTCTCTCACCGAAACCCCATTGAAACCCTTCCCCCAATTCATAACCCCAACCGCCCCAACCCGCCGCCTCCACCTACGCCCAAACGGCCAGCCCCGATGCGGCTCACTCGGCGTCTGTCGCGCTAGACCCCTACGCCGGTCGGTCCGGACCTTGAAGCCCACGAAATACTCTAAAAACCATCTCCAACCCTCGAAAAAACCCCAATCGGAACCCTAGCCATGGCTGGGAAGGTCCGGTTAAGGTTTTTAAGGGATGGTGCGATGGTTTTAGGGGAATTCGTGGAGAGGGAGGAGGGTTTCTGGAAGGGAGATACGATTGGGGAGGGGGTTTAACACGGCGATGGTGCTGAGGAAAAGGGGTTTTGGTGCGCCGGTGAAGTATTGGGTGGTGGGTCGAGGGATGGCGTGAGGGGTGGCTGCCTGCTGGGTTGGTGGGGGATTGGTGGTGTTTTTTTTAGAAAAAAAAGTTATTTAACTATTAATATAAAACTAACCCTAGTTAAAGATTATATCCTAAAATATATCATTAATGTTATTGTTAATATATATTAAGAATTTATGATTACCAAAGATAATTGAAAATTCTAGTGTTTACCATTGAGAAAAATAAAAAGTTGATGAGCACCATTGAGAATTTCCCAATTTTTCTACCTAAATTATACCATACTCTCTGTGGTATGAAAGTAATTTAACTAATATGATACCCTATGATACATGCAAGAATGCATGGAATATTTGGCTATGTATCTATTCAATACACATATACAATGTACATTGGATTCAAATCATAATTTAAAATTTGAAGATATTATCTTAAGTACAATCAAATAAATTTACCCTTTCTTTTTTTTTTCCATCAATGAATTATTTTACCGGCATGTCAATATATTAAGGGAGACGTATATATATATATATTTTTTTTGAAAAAAAAATACATAAATAATAAATAAAAAATGCCTCCCTTAATATATTCCTCCATAAGTTATTTTCAGATAATTGGAATAAGTACACCCACAAATAAAATGAATAAGCTTTTTCTTAATCTATTTTATAAATAGTCTTTTACTAGTCAATATTATCATAAATTTGTTTTAAACGTATAAAATATTTGTCGCATTCAAATTACTTGTTATGAAATAAAATATGGCTAGATCTTCATATTTTCATTAATCCTTCTTTAAACAAATAGCAAAGAGAGGACAAGAAATAACTATTATAGTGATACAGTAATAATATCATTTTTTTCCCTCTAATTTAGAGTGGTTGACACAATACGACAATTAAGTTTAAACTCAATAAAATGGTAGATCTTGTAAGTTACAAGTATTTGATTGCCCCACTATGGGTCCTAAGACCTAAATTCCTTCCTTTCTTTCTGTGCACATCAATTATAATTTTATACTCACCAATACATACATACAAAGGTTACAAATAAATCGACAAAGGTTACAAGTACCCTACAAATATAACCAACACATTAATGAATATCATGGAGAACGACGTATAGTTTCCTTAGAAAGTTGCAAGTGTATGAACTAGACTAAAAATGACATCGTGAAATCGCGTGGGATATCCTTCGGATCGGAAAAGAGCATGTCAATTACAAGTAAATATCGAAAACTATCAAATTAACTTACGAACTACAGTAATGTTATCGATATTTAATTTACCATTTCAACTATTTGAGTGTGAACTATGTGCGAAACATATTCACTAAACTGTTATTTTGACATCTAATTCTAACTCTTTATAAGCTACCGGTAGACAATATGCTTCTCATCAGAACAACTAATTTTGCCGAACATGACAACAATACTTGCAAAAATGTCGTACATATCAGTTTAGAACTTCCCATCTTTTTTTTTCACAAGAAACTTCCGATCTTTTAAGTTTGAGGGTTCATTTTTAGTTCTTATTATAAACACGTAGTTGTGCCTCGTGCACAGGTTTCGACCCGATACGACAAATTTCAGAATGCTCTAATTGTCCAGCATGTTCTTACACAAATCATCTTGAAATTTTCAAGAAAAACAGTCAGCAGTTGCACTCCCATTGTCAAAGTCTCCTTTGTCCTCTTCTTTCCCACCATCATCACTCTTCCCATTATATTAGGCGTAACAAAATCTTCACACTCTTTTACCTTCTTTCTTTCATTACTAATAATCTCTTTCTCTCTCTTCAAATTTTGTGACAAACCCACCAATTACATCATCATAATCATCTGCAATCTCAATGGCGTATACTTCCTGTAACATGACCAACATCTCGTTGGATTCTGGGTTGATTTTAAACTCTTTTAATCATCGGAAAATTGCCCTTAATTTCTTTCCTTGTAATTCCAAATGGGTGTTCAACAATTTTACTCTTCGTTCTTGGACACAAAATGGGTCGTTTCGCCGTACCCTTGGTTGTGTTTGCTGTCACACTGCTCAGGTATATTGAATTTTTCATAATTTCGTAAATCATAGCAAAGAATTTGGTTGTGTTTGATAGTTTTAGTTATTGGTGTTCTTGGAATTTTAATTTGATTTATCATGTTTTTGTTAATTATTTTGATGTGGAATTTTTTAGTTGCTTGGTAGAATTGAAATTAGGCTCTATTAGGATTCTGTTCAGATGATTTGATTCTTGGTGTTCTTTTACCGTATAACAATTTAATACATTTCTGGAAATGGTATTAAGTTGGGAATTTATGACAAAATCACACGTATCTAGTATTCGGGTTTGTCAAGCAACAGGGAGTGGTTGCCTTTTGTTCTTGGGAGTTGGCAATTTGGGTATTCTAAAGGAGGTTGTAGTACTGTGAAGGTTTGTGGTTGAGCTTATTTGCGGATAAGTTGTGAACTCTATCACTTGAGCTCGAATAAGGTCCTTGCAATCTTTGATGATTGGTTGATAATGGAGTGGGAACTTGGAAAGTTAGTATGCTAGAGTAACAATAATTGATGATCAAAGTCTTAAATAGTGAATTTAAGTAGGTCACATTAGTGTAATGTGACAGGTGGGTGTGTAATGTGACTTCTCTATATTGGAATTGCATAGCTTTTTAGGCTCGTATCCTGAGATCGTCCTTGTGATTTTTATTACTTGGCTTACCTGTAATAGGGATAGATAGATGATGGTGATCTAGAAAAATATCCTTTAAATTGCCCTTCGCAATAGTGATGTTCAATTTACGGACTAGGATTTTTTATTTATTTTTGTTATTTATTTAATCCAGGGGTGGGGGGCATAGAAAAGTTTCTCTTCATGTTATTGCCTACTGCTATAAAGGATAATTGCTTGCATCCTGTTGTTGTCGGTTTGGAATGAAGAAGTTGAGGGCTATAACACAACATTTGGTCATTTGTTTGATCCTCTTCCTACTTAGGTGCCCTTCATCCTCATCAGTTTCGTTGGTTAGATTGGACTTTTTCTTGCATTTGGACCTTTGCTGAACTGGAAGGGTCTATATTCTTCCATGCCATATAACTTTACAGAAGTGATTTGGTGGTTTCAGGATAGTTTTCTTTCATGAGGGATGTCTAATTTAGAACCATTAGCCCTCGATATGTTAGTTAATAAATAAAATTCGAGCAGACATTTTAAGATCAGTGAATTTCTGCTACTGACAGGCAGACATCTTGCTGTCACTTGCATGAGAAGCTGCTGACACATTTGGTTCTAAAAATTTCTGTCAGACTGAGGAGTTGCAAAATAGGAGGTGTGCACCTTTACTAGAACATGAGATATTATACAATAAGGTGTTGTTGGGCTCTAGCGACTGGAAAGCAGTTCCTGATATTTGGAGAACAGCTGCAGAAAAGTATGGTGATCGTATTGCGTTGTTAGATCCATACCATGAACCTCCTTTAGAGTTGACTTATAAGCAGGTAAATTCTTACCTGTATACATTTATACTCTTTTTAACGATATTTTTATTTTTTTAAAATTTAACTCTCTTTTCATCGACAAATTTACTATACTGCTATTAGATAGTCATACTTTTTAATTTTCTATATGTTGTGTTGGAAAATTTATGTGACAAGAATGAAGTCATACTAATGTTGTGATTTGTAGGGGGGTAGGTTTTTTAGTGTATTCGAACTTCTGAGGTCTCGGTTAGAGGCTTTTCTCTTCTTGTATTGTTTAACTCTTGTTGGTTTGTTTGTCCTTATCACAGCTTGAGCAAGAGATTTTGGATTTCTCTGAAGGCTTAAGAGCCGTCGGCGTAAAGCCAGTTGAAAAGGTTGCCCTTTTTGCTGATAATTCATGTCGGTGGTTAATTGCTGACCAAGGTATGTTGTCATCGTCCCTCATTCTTTTCTGAGTCTCTGGTTTACAGTTTGTGATCTGTTCTTGTAGCTTATACTTACCGTTGCATGATATCCTGTGGCTAAATTCTTTCAAGGATAGCCCTGGATTTCTAATTTCATATGCTTCAAATGAGATGGATAACATAATTTGGTCTTCACGAGGAATTGAAGTATCACCTTATGGAGAAAAGATTCAAATTTGCTAGTCTATCTACTGATTTTACTCCCTCCATCTCGATATCCTATAGTCTTTGCATGATATCTTGGGTGGTTGTGATCTTCCCCCCAACCCACCCACCCTCCTTGTTTTTTCTTTTCTATACCTCATGCCTGCCTCTGCTGATTGATAAATTAATGGGACGGTTTACATGCTCATGTTAATTATCGCTCTTGCTTACCCACGGAATATTGTATCATCTCTGGTGCAGGAACTATGGCAACAGGAGCTATCAATGTTGTGAGGGGCTCAAGGTCATCCACAGAAGAACTGTTGCAAATATACAAACATTCTGAAAGGTTAACAAGAAACAAATTTCCTAATGAAAGTTATGGGGTTCAGTTTCTTCTAGTTTACATGGTTTTCACATAATTATCTAAAAAATCTGTCTTCTGCCTTACTCCATTCTGTGAATAAAGATTTTAGACTCTAAAGGTTCCTGAAATTTCTGTGAATAAAAATTTTAGACTCTGAAGGTTCCTGAAATTTCCTCTGTACAATTGCACAGTACAAAATATCAAAGTAATTGTGGGGGGGGGGGGGGGGAGAGAGGGGGCGGGTATAAACTAGTGGAGAATTTAGGAATATATTGAACTTTTTTTATTGAATACCGTTGATAGTTGAACAGTTTGCATTGTGGAGGGGCAGGTTGAGACAAAATTTTCACAAGTTGTTGCTTAATTGACAGCAGATTCTTGCTAAGTTTGTGTAAAGTGTTTTATGCTCCATGTATAAAACAATAATACATTTCTCCTTTTCTTTCTCCTGCATTTTTTCCTAGGTAATGTCTGGTATCTTGATGAATTATACATTTCTCTGCAGTGTTGCACTCATTGTGGATAACCCTCAGTTGTTTGATAGAATGGCGGACTTGTTCGTTGCTGGGGCAACAACGAAATTTGTGATTTTGCTTTGGGGAGAGAAAGCAGACTTGAATGTTGGAGAGTCTGATAGACTTTTAGTTTACAACTATAATGACATCGTAGCAATGGGAAAAGAAAGTCGGAAACATCTGGCTGATTCTTATGATGCTAGTAAGGCGGGATTCTCTCATATACTTATAAAACACTTTTGCATATTATAAAGGGGGGAAAAAGACGGGGGAGGGGGGGGGGGGGTTTGTGACCGGAAGGTTTCTTGTTATGTGCTTTTTCTCTTTGGGACAATCAATTCTATACTAATTATTGAGTTTATGTTTTGTCCAAGTCTAATTAGAGCAAAACAAAATTGTTGAATTAAAACCTTCTGCTAAAGTGAGAAAATGTTAGTGCTTAAAATCCAGGTAGCTAAAGCAAATTGGGTTCTATTACAGCCTTACCAAATTCAAGGATGCACCATAAAAATGCTTCTGTTAATTTTATGTGTATATTTAACATTCTGTGTCTCTATCCTAAGAAATTATTCAACAAACAAATTCAAAGTGATGATGTTCTTCTTTCATTATGTGTACCTAGTTCCATTATCAATATCTCAGAATGAAGTCCCATCCTTTTAGAGGAACATCCCTAGCGTCTAAATGAGAACTTCATTGATGGCTGTTCTCAATAATAACTTGATTTGTGCTTATTATCTTCTGCCATAATTGGTCATTCCCTTATCTTTCAAAGCAGCTTTGTCTCATTAGAATGTTCAGATTCCTTGCTTCTGTGCTTGTTTCCCTCTTCCTCTTCTGTTTGTGCATGTGTTCTAGACACAGACCAAATGAAACTATGAAAGGGACGTAGAGGATTTCAAACAATTTATTTGACTCTGTAGATATATTGGAATGAATATTCTTAGCATTATTAGTTCAAAATTGCACCTGGCATACTGCAAATGCTTTTTTCAATGTCCTTTTTGATGAATAACCAGCAAGCAAGATTCATGATTCAAATGATTTCAGGGAAACTATTCAATTATGAGCCCATATGCTCCAATGACATTGCCACACTGATGTATACTAGTGGTACCACGGGCAACCCAAAGGGTGTAATGATTACACACCAGAATCTTCTGCATCAGGTCTAGTCCCTGCCTCCCTTCTCCGAGTTCTCCCAAATCCCCTCTGTTCTTTTGTTTTCTCCTCATGGGAGGTCAGATTCTGGCACTTGGAAATTGGAATTTGATATACAAATTGCACTTTCTCTTCAGGTTCCAACTATTTCTTTCTACTCTACTTGATGCTATATGTTTATATTTGTTAATATATACGAAGCATATTGTAAAAATGAACTGTTCTGTGCGATGTTAATTACCTAACTAGTTTCATCTGAAATTGTTGCTTAACAAATGAAAACAATACTTAGTTTAGATCTTTCCATTGCAAGTCTACTTTGGTTAATATGGTACACCTATATCCAAACCAGACTAATTTAAAGGGTTGTATCTGGAGTTATAACCAGTCACATTAAGCAATTAAAAGTTGGCTTGCATATTCAGGACTTCAGGTGAATGCATCATTAGACAATAGTTTTATGTTTTTATTTTTATTATGATTTTATGTATGTATTGCCTTGTTACTAGTCTCTACTGTTTAGGCTTTTAAGAATAGATTGTGTATAACTTGACCTTCACAAACCTCACCTTAAGAGTAGCTGCATTTATGCGTATATCAACGCCCCCCCCCCCCCCAAAAAAAAAAAAGAAGAAAAACCTATGGTCAACTGAGCATTGAGAGATCTGCAATTGTTTTTAGATCAAGAGTTTGTGGGATATTGCACCTGTTCAAGCTGGAGATAAATTTTTGAGCATGCTGCCTCCCTGGCATGCTTATGAACGGGCAGCAGAGTATTTCATCTTCTCACGTGGGGGAGAGCAAATGTACACAACTGTGAAAAATTTGAAGGTATACAATTGGATTACTATCTTAATTTGACTTGCTCTTCCAGTTTGGTAATAATGTAACATATTCGAAGTATCCCTTTCCTTTCCACTGTGAACCTTTTGTTCTACTTGTGACAACAGGAGGATTTGAAAAATTATCAACCTGAGTACCTGATTTCTGTTCCATTAGTGTATGAAACACTCTACAGGTTAGTTATCTTACAGAATACCGATTATTCATGTTGATTGATCTGCTTTTGACATGCATGCAAAATAAACTGTTATCCATACGGCAACTTTGTGATTATATGGATTCCGTAGCTTAGCTTCTATTTCTGGCGCATACCGCATATGACTCTGTTCTGAGTTTGTGCAGCATAAAAGCCTACTGCAGTGTAAGTCTTGTGTGTGGCTGCTATTTTATCTGTGTTTCTAATTACCTTGGTTAGTTTGATAAATAAGTTACAATTCTGTCCACCCTAATTATTCTAAAGAAATTAGAGATTATTCTAGAGCTGCTTTCAACAGATTTTGCTCCTTGGTCTGCAAACAATAGACAAAGAGAGATGTTGAAAGCTTGTACAATGATTTAATTCCTGCAAATGCTAATATTATTTATAATTAGAGATTTCCTGAGCATTGTAGCAGTTGGCCCTTTCAGTTTTTGTATGATGCTATCAAATGGCAAGTAAAAGAGATTGAAATATTAAAACCTAATTACGATGATATGTATACATCTGAGAATTGTTGAAATTTTAGGGTATACAAAGAAGATTAATAGATGAAATAGAAATGGTGTGGTTTTTTGTAAAAATTAAAAATTCACAGCGCCTGGTGCACTTAAGGTTGCTAGTGGTTTATAATTTTTTAATAATCTTTGGCAAAATGATCTAAAGATTGACTTTTAATACTTTTATTTCTGCTGAATAAGCTGTTTTGCCTATCTATTTTATTTATTTGCAATACTATATCTAGGGTCTCTCTGCGTATCCTTCAAATCCTTGCAATCTTCTTGCAGTGCTATTCAGAAGCAGATTTCTGCAAACTCTGTTGTTCGTAAAATCATTGCTCTTGCACTCATAAAGATTAGTTTGATATACATGGAGCTTAAGAGGATTTATGAGGTTTGTAATTTGAGCATTTGCTGCTGTCTTATACCTTTTGTTTATATATTGTGCAGCTGTGCATGTAAATCATATTTACAGGGGCATCACTGAATTTAATAGTCTGCACGAACCATTAGATCATACATTAGCAATGAAACAGGGCCTAATTTCTGGACTAAGAAACTAAATAGCATTAATATGCATATAGGCGATAACCCGATCTTAAACAATGATTTTCAGAGTTTGAAACTTACAACTTACAAGAATGAAAAGTTTTATTAATCAATTAGAATTTTCAGTTCTGTGTTAGTATTATACATTGATTTCTAAAACCTTTTGATGTAGGGAAAATATCTAACTAAGAAGCAACAGTCTTTCCTCACTGCATTTTTTGACTGGCTGTGGGCAAGATTAGCTGCAACGGTATTGTGGCCAATTCATAATTTGGCTAAGATACTATTGTATCGTAAAATCAAATCTGCTATTGGGATATCGAAGGTATTTTTCTCCTGCTTCTCTTCTATTGGTTGGTTTTTTTTTTTTTGATTTTTTTTTATTTTTTTTATATATATGCTCTGGTTTCCTTATTTTTATTTGGTTGTTAAACCTTGAGTAGTGTACACTGTAGTGTTTTTTATTCTCCATCTTACAACATGCTGAAGCATTCTTCATTTCAAGTCATTCTCAGAAAACAGCTGCTTTTACATGGATTTGATTTCTGTTGTTTTAGAAAAATATTATAAGTAGTGTACTTGCAAATGAAGTTCTGAGGTGAATGGTTTTTTGTTTCTTTATACTGTGCAGGCGGGCATTAGTGGAGGTGGTAGTTTACCTATGTATGTTGACAAGTTCTTTGAGGTGACATATTCGCTGTTTATAGCTTTGTAGATCCCGGATTATATGCTGTTATATACTTGTATCAAGACTTTGCTACATTTGCAGGCAATCGGAATCATAGTGCAGAATGGTTATGGTCTGACTGAAGCTTCTCCTGTGGTCGCCGGTAGAAGACCGGCCTATAATGTTTGTAGCTCAATTTATATTCTCTCTTTATAAGTATATTTTTATTATCTCCCTTGCAGTAATTTCACATTTGATACATCTGAATTGTGTATTCTCTTGGGTTTTATTTTACTTTTGAAGGTATTAGGATCAGTTGGCCATCCACTTAAGCATACAGAAATTAAAGTTGTAGATGCTAATACTAATGAAGTGCTATCTCCTGGTTCAAAAGGCATTGTCAAAGTTAGGGGGCCGCAGGTGATGAAAGGCTATTTCAAGGTATAAATTGTGTTACTTGCTATAACTATTAGTTAAGTTTGGTCTTCATATTTAATTTGATAAAAGTAATATGAAATCACATCTGTTTGACAGTTTCTTATTTCCTCACAAAAGAGAAGTATGGTGTAAGTGGGGGAAGGACCTTAGTTTTTTGAAAACAAATTTCAGGGGCTTCTTCTTAGGCAGGTCAAAAGTTCATCCATGATTGTAAAAGAGTGAGATTGCTGATTTCTATATTGTAGTTGTATGTACCTTTAACACTAATTCACTAGCATATAACAAAGTACATTCAGGCTATATATCTCAGATGTCAGGAGTTATATTTATTCTATATCATTATTGTCATAATTTCCAAGTCTCTGTCAAGTAGGAAACAGAACAAGTTGTTTGGTTTTAAAATTATTACCTAGGTGTAGGCATTGAAAGTTTCAGATTGTGTGTTTATACTAAATTATTAAAATTCTTTCTAGACAATGCTATTTAGGGGCTTTTAGTCCAATGAAAATCCAGCATGTTGCTTGATGTTTTCCCCTCGGTGAATCATTGCTACTGCTCCTATAAGTTTAGCATCATAAATTCATCACAGGACATATGGGATTTGGTTAATCTTTCTATGACATCTTTGCAGAATCCATCTGCTACGAGGCAAGTTATGGATGATGATGGCTGGCTGACCACTGGGGATTTAGGCTGGATAGCACCTTCCCATTCAGCAGGGAGAAGTCGGCTTTGTGGAGGCGTTCTTGTTCTTGAAGGACGAGCTAAAGATACTATAGTTCTCTCGACAGGTGACTTTAGTCCACAATTTTCACTATCATGTAATAATGTATGACCAGCATGATTCATTTGACAAAAATGCTATTATATGCCTGAAAGATGCTTATACTCCAGTTTGAGCTGTCAACAGTGAAATGAGTGCAAGAACACAATGTGATAAAAAGATGTGTTTCCTTTAGTATCTAGTTCCACCTCTCTGACCCATTTGTCACTTATGATGTCCAGAATTCAACTGTTGTTTTGTTTGCAACTGATTTCTTTCTAAATGCAATTTGAAAGTTCCTTCTATCAGATTCTCCTTGCTAACTGATTTTTATGTGCTCTCAATTCTATATGTATCGTAAGCTTCTATCTGTATTTTGATGCTGATATTTTATGTTGATTAGGTGAAAATGTTGAGCCTTCAGAGATTGAAGAAGCTGCCATGAGAAGTAGTCTAATTGAACAAATTGTTGTCGTCGGCCAGGTTGGCCTCTCTACATTTGCTGAGGCCACTATTCCTTTTCCTTTTATTCTTTACTTTGCTGGTTTTAGTTTGCTAAATTCTATAGCTGGTTACCATTTTAGGATCAGCGACGCCTTGGAGCTATTATTGTTCCGAACAAAGAAGAGGTTTTACATGCAGCAAAGAAATTGTCTCTTATTGATGCGAATTCTAGTGAATTAGGGAAAGAAAGGTTAACTAGCCTTTTACAGGGGGAGCTGAGGAAATGGTTAGTTTTGTTATCATACATTTAACTTGTGACTCTTTTCATTCTTGTTCTTATCAATTTCTTCCACATTACAGGACTTCAGAATGCTCATTTCAAGTTGGTCCAATTCTAATTGTGGATGATCCCTTCACGGTATGTGATTTTTAGCATCATAGAACTGTATACTTGGTAATATGGTCATGTTTACTGCCTCCTTACTTCCTTTATTGTATTGCAGATTGAGAGCGGTCTAATGACCCCAACCTTAAAGATCCGAAGAGACGTAGTTGCAGATAGATATAGAGATCAGATAGCAAATTTATACAAGTGAACATATGAAAGAGACAAGCTCATGTAGGTTAGCTGTGATTCAGAGGTATAGCAATTGATAGTACAGCCATATTGTTCTATTCTTCTTTACAACATTCTTTGCCTATTCTGGGGCTGAAGCCTGAAAAGTTTGTTAATAGAAAATAATTGTAAAGGTTTTAAACCAACGCCTCTTGTAAATGACAAAGCTGGCACTTTTGCCCTCATGTAAATGTTAATTACTTTGGCAATTAACTGTTAATATGTAAGTGGCTCGCTGTGGCAAATTATTGTTTAGTTCATTTACTTGATGATCGAGATTTTAACGAGCTTTTTAGTGTATTTTTTTTACAACTAATACAACGTTTGTTTATAAACTTAATGAACGAGCTTTTAATGAATATATTAGCTTTTTAGTGTATTGTTTACAACTAATACAACGTTTGTTTATAAACTTGATGAACGAGATTTGAACAGCTTTTTAGTGTATTGTTTACAACTAATACAACGTTTGTTTATAAACTTGATGAACGAGATTTGAACAGCTTTTTATGAAAATATTTTTTCAATTTTCCAGCCTTACAATGTTACAAAGTTGTACACTAGTGTAAAATATCAAGCAAGATTTCATTGGTAATATCAAATTCAAACAGTTCAATATAGTTGTACAAGGTCATGGCGTGGGCACTAGGCAGGCATGCCTCTGAATCTGTCCTGGACCATAAGTTGAGAGCTTGTTATATACACCCGGGTGTACCGTTCACCAATAAATATTTTGTTCTTATTTTGATGAATGTCAAACACTAATCTTGCGTTAGTTGGGTGTACGGTATGGTATACCCGGGTGTATATAACAAATTCTACCATAAGGTCCATAACAATGTTTTATACCAATATATATTTGTGTGAACACAATTTGCATGAGTAGGAATTATATAAAATTAAAAATAAAAGTTAGACCCATATTATTTCCATTTTGGATTTATTGCAACAAATTGAGTCAGAGACGTTTCAAGACACAAATTTGACCATTAACTTTTGTAAGGAAAAACCGGAAGCGTTGTATAAGCTAAGCGAAGTGTAGAAATATTAACTTAAAATGAACATTAATTACACCGATTGACGCGTGATTTTGTCATACATTTCTAAATTAATACCACTTTAGTTAATATTTTAAATGCTTATTCAACGTCCCGATGGCGTTCGCTAGTAAACCTATTCGTAATTATGAAAATAATAATTTGATATAACAATGTAAAATATTAATGTTGCAATTAATCTTTCGAATAATATTTGTAGTATGTGGGTCAATGCCCAATTGGTGTAGCCGCTATTACAGTACACAAAACGGGCCAATTCTAACGGTTGTTGATGTTCAATTGTTCACCTCCCAAAATTAAAAATAATTCAATAAACGCTCCCTCAGATCCAATACTCTCTACGCTTTTCAAAAAAAAAAAAGTCAATAAAATCCAAAAACATTTCTTTCTCCAATAATTTCAAATCCTCCTTTCAACGGCTACTTTTCACGTTTTCCCCCCTTTTCCTCTCTTTCTCTCTCCTCCAAACTCTCTTCACTCTTCTTCTTCATCTTCTTCTTCTTCTTTCTCTCTCCAGAAATCTGCAGAATTCAACAATGAAGCACTTCATGCTCCCCAAATCAATTTCCCCATTATCGGAGCTTTCCACTCCTACAAACCCTAACCCTAACAATTCAAACCCTAATTCACAAAAATCGAAATCTTCTGGGCATCATCGGAAGCAAAAATGCCCTCCTAGAGATAAAGAGAATTCCGATCCTTGCGATGTTATCGCCGGAAAACCCTCTCCGGCGGGGAAGTTGAAGAGCCCTCTTCCGCCGCGACCGCCGCCTTCTGCTAACCCTCTTAAGCGTAAGCTTAGTAACGACGCCGTTTTCGATGTTGCTGGACCTTGTTCTTCGTCTTTGATTGATTCTGGCGTTAAGGTGAACTCATTGATTCATTTATTTGGATTTTTTAAGAACTATGTATAAGAGTATTACTATGTGATGTTGATTTTTCTTTTCTTTTTTTTTTTTTTTTTTTTTTTAAATAAAGAAACAAGTTTTAATTTGAGCTGTTGTGTAAAGATTGATGGGTAATCTTGAGTGTTATCATTTTATTTTTTGTTTTTCTTGGATTTTTGTATGGTTGTTAGTCAGCTATAGTTGATGGAATGCAAATTTGTGAAAGTTTCTGATTTAAATGTGAGCTATTTGGGTAGTTTTTGGTGGCAATATATAGATAATTTATGAAGTGTGGCTTTTTGTTCTTGATTTGTATATCTGAAACTCATTTGTTCATGTTAATTTGCTGAATTATTCAGTTGTATTCTGACTTTGAGCCATACAAGGTGTTAATGTTAGTTTGTTAATGTTGATGTTGATTGTTACAGATGATGGAATGGAATTTTGGGAAATTTTCTGTTTATTTTAGAGCTTTGATTCAAATTCGTGAATCTTAAAGTCATTTGTTGATGTTAATTTGCTGAATTACGGAGTACTTAATTGTATTCTTAATTTGAGCCATACAAGATGTTCGTTTCCATTAGATTTGAAATTTAAAGGATCATTTTCGCCTATTCGATTGATTAGTGTAGGGTCAGCTAGCTTTTAGAAGAAATTGGTGCGAGACAAATGATTCAAGCTTACCTCATTTCCTTTTATAGAGTTCAAGTTTGTTTATTGGAAATTCGGGTTGAGTTATTGTTGCTGGGTGTTGAATTGGTATTTTGTTTTTGTTTAATATAAGGTGGTAGTGCGAATGCGGCCATTGAACAAGGACGAGAGAGATGGGGAAATGATAGTTAAGAAAGTCTCAAATGATTCGTTGACAATCAATGACCATACCTTCACTTTTGACTCTGTGGCTGATATGGAGGCAACCCAGGCAAGATTGTGTTATATTGTCATTCCCCTTTAATTTGAATATGTGTGAAGGAAAACTAATTTTTGTCGAATTTGTCTATTTCAGCTCGACATTTTCCAGCTTGTGGGAGCTCCTCTTGTTGAGAACTGTCTTGCTGGGTTCAACAGCTCTGTGTTTGCTTACGGACAGGTAATTCTAAAATTAAATCTCATTAATTTCCTTTTTATTGTGTATAATATAGCTGCCTATGTTCTTATCATATGGTATTAATTTTTGTCCAATTAGACGGGCAGTGGAAAAACTTATACTATGTGGGGACCTTCCAATGCTTTGCTGGAAGACAACCTAGCAAATGAGCAACAGGGATTAACACCTCGTGTGTTTGAACGGCTTTTTGCTCGGATAAATGAGGTCAATATCTATCCTTTAACCTTTTATTACAAGTTTAATGAAATAATAATTAAAAACTGTCTGTTCTCTTTGTTTTGTGGTGTTCCAGGAACAAATTAAGCATTCAGACAAACAGCTTACATATCAGTGTCGTTGTTCTTTTCTTGAGGTACTGGAATGAGTTTTTTTTTGTTTCTCCCATTTTTCAGATTAGGTAACTACATGCAATTCATATTATTTCTGCATTGCAGATTTACAATGAACAAATTACTGATCTGCTGGATCCAAGCCAGAAGAATCTTCAGATTAGGGAAGATGTCAAATCTGGTGTTTATGTGGAAAATCTGGCAGAGGAGTATGTATCAACAGCCAAGGATGTGATACAGCTGTTGTTGAAGGTATGTATGGGCTCTGCTTTCTGAATAGTTTTCATTGTTAAAGTAAGAGAAGATGTTTGCTGCAACAATTTTCTGTTCTTTTTAGCATCAGTTATTTCTAAAGTAGTCCATGTAACACTAGCAGATTTGTAACACTAGCAGATTTTAATCTGATGACAAAACATGCAACTCTTCCATAATTCCTAAGAAAATTATTAAATGTATTCAAAGAATCAACACAAATTTCTAGCTTAGTTGTCATATACAAATTACATGCTTTCTCATTCAACAATCCAACCTTTCAGTTTCTTAGTTGTCAATGATCAATTTGTTATATAGTCTGTAGTATGTTTAGCTTCTGTTATCTGGAGAGTATGCATTCTCTCTGCTGGCAATTAATCTGAACTTGGAATAATATTTGAACTAGTCTGCTTAAATGTTGCTATAGACATTACTCGAATAAACTTCTCCTATGATTATCCAACACTGAATTTGTGTGGAAAAGCTGGTTTCTAAGTGTTCTGTCTCAAATGTGCATTTGATTCCAGCGTTGGAAAATATCTTTTATATTTGGTTCTTGAGATCTTGTCTAAGAGTTCTATTTAAAATATAGATTCAAAAGAATTACAATTTAAATACATATTCTATTTGCAATTGATTTGCTGCCATTGGACCTTTCAAAACCTTTTCTACGTGTTTTGATTACTGTTGGACCTTCCACATTATACATATCTGATAATGAAGTCAAAATGTTTTTATTGTGTTCATTATAGTTTGCAACTAGTTTGAAGCTATTTGTAAGTTTCAGTGTCTCATGTATAAAACCATTTATCTCAAATGTGCAGGGACTGTCACACCGCAGAACAGGTGCAACAAGTATAAATGCAGAAAGTTCGCGTTCACATAGTGTTTTCACTTGTTCCGTTGAATCACAATGCAAGGTACTTTTACCAATTATAAGAGGGAGGAGGGGAGTTCATAGTCTTTACCGCGGGGGTTGGGGGGGGGGGTGTTGATATATTGGACATGTTATTTGAAATGCTGTGCTTGGTTAACAAGATAAATGAAATGATATAGGTCAACCAGAAAAGGCACCAGGAAGACCAGTCTCACATTCTTCTTTCCTCCTATAGGGTCAACGCTGTGCTTTTGGAAGATGGACCTTTTAGACCATTTAATAGGAAATGGAGGTCCTGAAAGGCTTAAGGGTAGCTAATAATCCACTGTTTGTACGAGATTTTGGCAGCTAGCACTATACAAAAGTAAAATATAAACAAGATATTTACCCCTAGTGATGTGTTAATTAGCTGGGCTTTCTCAGATGTGTATCCTTTAAGTTTTGGGGGAAAGCCGAGGATGTTATCATATTAATGGGGAGACAAAATGAAAAAGTGGTGGCGTTTTTATTATGTAGCACAAGGCTATTTGCAGCCTCTTACTTGGACATACTGATATTGATTTAGAGTTTTTTTATATTGTAGAGCAAGTCTGATGGCCTGAGCAGTTTGAAGACTAGTAAAATAAATTTAGTTGATCTTGCTGGGTCAGAAAGGCAAAAGTTAACTGGTGCAGCTGGAGAGCGGCTGAAAGAAGCTGGCAATATCAATCGATCCCTTTCACAGTTGGGGTATGTTGTCTCTTAGCTTTGCTATTGAAATTTGTAATATTGAGGAGTTATTTTGTTCCTCTATTTTCTATGTATTAGGTTGTAGCACATAAACTTTCTAGTTGATAAATAAACCTGTTCTAAACACTCCAATTGTTGTAGGTTGCATAAATATAGTTTACTCAAGGGGGTTGATGAGTAAATAGGGTTAGGTAGGTAGGTTGCATAAATATACTTTACTCAAGGGGGTTGATGGTTCCATGTTTAACTGTTGTTGCTGTTTGGGCAATCCTAGTTGCTAAGTATAATTTGAGTGCATCTTCCTCATATGATAAGTGTATTGCAGTAATCTGATTAACATTCTCGCTGAAGTCTCCCAAACTGGAAAGCAAAGGCATATCCCATATAGAGACTCCAGATTGACATTTTTGCTTCAGGAATCTCTTGGCGGTAATGCAAAAATGGCTATGATTTGTGCTATTTCTCCAGCTCAAAGGTGTGATGCTGCTGTCTTTTTCGCTTTCAAAACTTCCGAACTCTTTGCCCTTTCCGAATTGTTAATTGATAGTTGTTTGTTGATATTACAGCTGTAAGAGTGAGACATTTAGCACATTGAGGTTTGCACAGCGTGCAAAGGCCATTAAAAACAAGGCTGTTGTCAATGAAGTTATGCAAGAAGATGATGTTAACTTTTTAAGAGAAGTGATAAGGCAACTTAAGGTAGAATTATTTAAATTACTCGTGGTAAACATGTCATCAGGTCTTTGGTGCTTAGATAATAACTTGTGCTTGTTACACGGTACAGGATGAACTACTTCGAATGAAGGCAAATAGAAACCAAAGTGATCCAAAGGAAGCATATGCGAACAGTTGGAATGCACGTAGAAGCTTAAGTCTTTTGAAGATGAGTCTCAACCATCCAATGGTCTTGCATCATTTAGATGCTGATGGTGACGAGGAGATGGAAATTGATGAGGAGGCTGTTCAAAAACTGTGCAATGTAGTTCGTCAACAATCGGGTGGCCTTGAAAATAGCCAATGTAAGGATGAATGTATTGAGAAGCCTAGCCCTGAAATCTCAGATGTTAGTATGGAAGAGGTATATTCAGAAATAGATGATAATGAAATCATTGTTGATGGTGGGAATTTGCTGTCTGCCGAGGGGAAGGACACAATAAAAATAGAAAATAAAGCTGTTAGTGAATCGCAATGCAAGCTAATTGAGAATGGTTCTGCATTCTTGTCATCTCCAGCTAATATGGCCGATGCTGAGGCCAAAAATAGTCCTTCAAATGACCCCTTGGATACACTAGTTCCTGAAGTAAATGTTATTCCTTGTGATGTTTCTCCTATTCTGCCATCTCCCCCTAAGAGTGTTTCCCCAAGAATTGTTAGCAGTAGCAGAAAGAGTCTAAGAACATCATCAATGCTTACTGCATCACAGAAAGACGTAGAAAACTTAAGATTAAGCAAGAAGGATGCTCATGCATCTTTGGCAAAGTCTTCTCTAAGGAACTCTCAGCTTGCTCTGACTATTATGTCTGGCAATAATGCACGTAGCTCTACTGATCATTTAGCAGCTAGCCTTCATCGTGGTCTTGAGATCATCGATAATCAGCGGAAGAGTTCTGCTTTCAGGAAGTCTGCATTCCGGTTGTCATTCAAGCCTGCAGAGTTGAAGCCAATTTTACCTATTGAGAAAGTTGATGTAGGTATTCAAACTCTACCAGACAGTATTGAGATGCCAGAAATAGATGGAATCAATTATCTTTGTAGTAATTGCAATAAGTCTCTTCATGGAGATGTGAAAGAAGCCAATGACCCCTCAAACCTTCAGTTGGTTCCTGTGGATAGGTCAGTGTCAGCTGAAAAGCCCAAGAACCAGGTTCCAAAGGTATGTAGCTTGCATTTATGTGTCTTGTCTTTCCTTTTATAACATCTATTGAACATGGCATGTGATACAACTACAACAGGCAGTAGAGAAGGTTCTGGCTGGAGCGATTAGGAGAGAAATGGCGCTTGAGGACTTCTGCTCCCGGCAAAATTATGAGATTGCACAACTGAATCGGCTGGCAAGTTCAATTAGAATTCACTCATTGCTAGTTATGTTTTGTTTATTATCAGCAACCTTCTGACAATTTGTCCATTATTGAACAGGTTCAACAATATAAACATGAACGGGAATGCAATGCAATTATTAGTCAAATGCGGGAGGATAAAATAATTCGCCTTGAACACCTTATGGATGGTGTGTTACCTACTGAGGACTTCATGGAAGAAGAATTCATATCTATTCGTAGAGAACATGAGGTACATAACATCTTTGTTTATTATTATACATTTTGCAATATAAGCCTTGTTTGGCACCTAACTGACCTTTATTGGAATTAAACTTGCCTGGTATCTATAGCTTCTAAAGGAAAAATATGAAAACCATCCTGAAGTGTTGGAGACCAAAATTGAGTTAAAGAGAGCACAGGATGAGTTGGAGAAATTGCGAAGCTTCTTTGATATGGGCGAGAAGGATGTCCTATTGGAGGAAATTCATGATTTAAGGAGCCAGCTTCAATACTACACAGATAGTTCACCCAAGGCTTCTAGGCAACGAAAGTCTCTTTTGAAGTTGACTTACCCTTGTGAACAGAGTTTGTCTCAACCACTGAACACAATACCAGAATCAACTGAGGACAATGCTGGCGAACAGGAAAGGATTCAGTGGGCTGTTGAACAGGAAAGGATTCGGTGGACCGAGGTGGAAAGCCAATGGATATCTCTTGCCGAGGAATTAAAATTGGAACTTGAATCTTGTCGTAACCATACTGAAGACCTAGAGCGAGAACTTGAGTCAGAAAAGAATTGCTCAGAGGAGCTAAAAGAAGCCCTTCAGTTAGCAATGGAGGGTCAAGCACGTATGCTTGAACAGCATGCAGACCTTGAAGAGAAACATATGCAAATGCTTGCAAGGCGTAGACAGATGCAAGACGGAATCGAGGATGTTAAGAAGGCAGCTGCTAAAGCAGGTGTCAGAGGGGCAGAATCAAAGTTTATTAATGCTCTTGCGGCGGAGATTTCAGCTTTAAAAGTTGAAAGAGAAAGGGAGAGGCGGTATTTCAGGGATGAAAATAAAATGCTTCAGTCTCAACTAAGAGACACTGCAGAAGCTCTGCAGGCTGCCGGAGAATTACTTGTACGTCTGAAAGAAGGTGAAGAAGCAGTAGCTGCTGCCGAGGTTAGTAAAGATTAGTCTTTTGTGCTGTCTATCATTTTTGTTTTCTAATGTTTCATATTAAGGCTGTGCTAATTTAACGTTCCAAATTTTTTTTCAGAAGCGTGCTGCTGTAGCAGAAGAAGAAACTGAGAAGACTCGCAAGCAAATTGATGATCTAAAGAAAAAACACGAAGCTGAAATTGAGTCATTGAATCAAATTATTGCCGACTCCCATATAGCAAAAGAAGAGGCCTTGCAAGGTTCTTATCATGCACCCAGTGTGATCAAATTTGACACTGAGGAGCGACATAGTATACCAAAAGAGGCCTTACAAGATTCCTATCATGCACCCAGTAATGCAGTCAAATTTGACACTGAGGCGCAACACAGTGCTGGTGATGAGCGGTGGAAAGAAGAGTTTAAGGCATTCTATGACAATGGAATAGATGATGAGCTATCATCTAAATTCGCAGAACCTTCTTCATGGTTCTCTGGTTATGACAGATGCAACATATAGGTAAAAAATTCAGTGGCCTTCTCTGTATGTAAAATTACTAACAGTTGATTTGTTATATATTTCAATATAGTGTACCTGTATTGCTTACCAAGATTCAGTTCCATAGGTTAGAAATCCTCACCATTTGTGAGGCCCAATGTTTTTCTTACCTCTTTGGTAGTCCAATCTCCAATGTATTCAAATTGAGCTGCCTCAGCTATAAAATTCAATTTTTCTTAGTCGGATCCAATGTACAAGTGTATAACTTTGGACTCCTCATTTTACATAAAGTGTCATTGTTGGATCCTCGACACATGCTCACGTACCCATTTCGGATATGGTATCCGAGTCCAAGCAACATGTATTTCTTATTATGTATTATGGGCAAGAGGAGATAATAAATTGTTCAATTTGGATTGGGATGGTCCACCCATTGGTTTGAATGGTTTGGATAGGGCAGAGATGGGACAAAGGATCTCAAATGAAAGATGTTTTAAACAAATTCTTCATTGTTTTTTTAATAGAACCTTGAAGAATTATTTAATTATGTTGGTTTCAATGTCAAGAGGATGGCAGGCAATCTACAAGTGGATGAGTTGATCATGTCCATTTGCTTTTTTTTGGTTGTGTGTCTACTGGTAAGACGAGGAAATTAATTTAGGTCTTCAAATTTTTCTTAAAAATTTTTATGCTATTCTTATTAAGACAAATATATATATGAGCAATGGTGATAACAGCGACTATGGTGGTGGAGGTCGAAGGTAGGTGGGGAAGGGAAAACGGTGAGATGTGAATTTTGTAGGGACTTTTTAACAGATTCAATTAAGTGGTGGCAAAATTATATAGCAAAACGTGTGCAATTTATCAATTTTTATAGGGACACTTTAATCCATACTCTAGTCAAGTACTCTTAAAGACTTAAGTAGGAGGTAACTCGTTCGCCTCATAGAGTTACTTGCACAAAAAACTTCTAGTTAAAATGTAGTGGATTGCTAAACATCGCCCGCAAATCTCCACATAAAGCCCACAAATCTATATTGAATTTACCTTATTGCCCTAAACCTAAAATAAAAAAATCTAACCCATACCCACACTCTAATCACCCGAAAATACGGCAATGTTGAGGCGGCAAGGCAAGGATTTGGCGGCCACAGCGGCGGAGGGAAGGACGGCTCACGGTGGCAAGTTTTTTTTAAAAAAAATTTTTTTAAAAAAAAACCAGAAGAGGTGGGGCGCCTGGCCAGGACGCCCAGCCCCTGGTGGTGGCGTCTGCTCCGGCCGCCGGAACCAGGGGGCTGGCGTCTGACCTGGACGCCTAGCCACGGTTGTGGCATTTTCCAGAGGCGCCACCGCCGTGGCTGGGCGTCCAGGTCAGACGCCAGCCCCCTGGTCCCGGCGGCCGGAGCAGACGCCACCACCAGGGGCTGAGCGTCCTGGCCAGGCGCCCTACCACTTTTTTTTTTTTTTTTTGTCTAATATTTTTTTTTTTGGAAAATCAGAATTCTTTTGTTAATGTTTAATATTTTTGTTTTATGTGTTAATGTTTTTATTTCTAATGTATATATTTTTTTAAAAATCAGAATTTTTTGTGTTAATGTTTAATTTTTTGTGTTAATGTTTAATTAAAAAAAACAAAAACTTTAAATAAAATTTAAAAAAAATTACAAAAAGTTTAAATAAAATTACAAAAAAATAAATAAATAAATAAATAAAATAACAAATTACAAAAAAAAAAAAAAAATACAAAAAGTAGGGGTGGCGTCTGGCCAGGACGCCACAGCCATGGTGGCGGCGTCTGGCCAGGACGCCACAGCCATGGTGGCGGCGTCCTGACCAGACGCCACCCCTACTTTTCGTAATTTTTCCCCCGGATTATCTCGCTTTCCGGCGACGATGACGGCTCTTCGGTGTCCCTCGGCGATCCACTCCAGCTCCACATTCTTCGTGAGAGTGAATTACGGTTTCGGTAAAAATTAGAAAAAGGGCAAAAGAGTCAAAGTAAAAATATTTGTGGGCTTTATGTGGAGATTTGCGGGCGACGTTTATCACATCACTACTATGACATGGTGAAATAAATAAATGGGTGATGTGATAAACTTTGTATATACTATAGTTGTTACCCAATAAAAATATCTCAATTTTCATGTCTTATTCTTTTCTTTACTATTGGTGAATGGTATATGATAATATTATATTATAAGGTTTTAGCCAAATTGTACAGAAGAAGTGTTTTTGTTAGGAGACCATAAAACTGGTGAGTTGTGGCCCTTGTCTATAACCGTGATATAACCTGTGCCCCACAAAAATGGGACCAATATTGTTCATCTCCACCACCCTAGCCACTCAATATTCTTATCATATTTTTAAGAGAATGAACAAGAGACATCTTAAGACAAGCAACAAACATCATACAATGTGAATTTAAGATGAGAGATAATGGGTATGAAAGTAACATCTAGATAATGTCCAATGTTAGATATAAGAGCTAAGAAATGAAAGGTATTGGCTCCTTCCCCTTCTTTTTTCCCTTGGGATGAGTAGTTTCGTTAGCTCGCTCGAATGTTCGATATTACTTATATTAATGTAAGTAAAGAAATGGATTATGAACTGATAAAAAAAAAAAAAAAAAATTAAACGACAAAATTTGGGTGACTGTAAAGATGATTGTGAACTGTGTTTCGTACAGGGGTAGTGTGTCTTAGGGTAAGTTACTCTCAGCACATGGTTGTGCACGACCTAAATCTTCAAAAGGTCAGTCCAAGCCCACATGTCATTTTGTTGTGTCATGCTTGCATGCTTAGGTTAAATTAATTAAATTAGGCTATGTTCTATTCACCTTGTATCTTTTTTATGTATATTACTGTAACTAGTACGAAGTAGTGTATTAATGTGGAACACCTAAATGTTCTTATAGATATACTAGCCAAGTAGCTATACTTTAATTTAGGATAAGAGTTAGAGGGAATAGGAACTAGAAACTTAGAAAGTGTCCACTAAAGAATGTATAATATAAGTAGTGTTTGGTGTAATACTGATTTGTGCTAATACAGTGTAACTGATTTTAACACAATGATTTGTGGTCTTAACTGCACAAACGTGACAGAATGAAGTATTTTACTAAATTGGAAGAGTATAATTAGAGAGATTTCATGTGTTTGGTTCACCTTTTTAAGCTTTATTAATCTGGTGATTAGCTGGTTTAGGAATATCAACCCTAATGAGGCTGAGAGAAAGATAGAAACTAAACACCAAAACAGAAGTTGGCATAAAATTGAGCATTTAATATACCTAACTATGGCCTATGGACATGAACTTAATACGTTTTAGGTATAGCTTGTGTCCACGTGTCCGAAAGGTGTCATTAGTTGCCTAGGTATCAAACACGTAATACACTATACACCATTCGATAAAAGTTTTTATGTTATGAATAACTTAAGAAACTTAATTAAGCAAATGCAGCTAATTATAAAAAACGTCGTATTTTATGATGTTATCATCTTTTTTTTCTTTTTTATTTTATGTGATACAAGAAATTATATTGTCGCTACATATATATATATACCCTCCTAGCTTGTTCTTGGAATTGAATTGAAGGCTGTTGTCCAAATTGAAGTTCACTGAAAATGTTTGATGTACCATATGTAATGATTTTGGTTGGCCAATTTGGTGAAAGAAATGATAATTCTTCAAAGATAATATTGTACCATAAAAATTCTTTTAAGGGCTAAAGCTAATTAGCTAGGCTTAGCTATTAGCTTAGCATATTTCTTCATTTATTATAAAAAATAACTATGTAAATCCCTAAATATTGTCGTAGCACTTTAACACGTTACATGTTAATAATTCAAATTGTTGTATCCAGTACGTGAATTACCCATTGTCCCATTGATTAGATGATTGTAGTTGACATGTACAAACTCCGGAGCTTGAGTCATTATATCTTACGTATCCTTACAAGAAAAACAAATCGATTCGAGGCTTTAATTTAAAGAGAGGGGGGCACCTTGATAAGAAAGAAATAGACGTAAAATGAAGGTGATATAATGGCAAAGAAAGAGTGACAGCCTGGTAAATGGACCTCTAGTACAGTAGTACTACTACTACTGATGCAAAGGGTTTTTCGTGCAAAAATTAAACCCACAAATAAATAAATAAAAACATCAAACATAATTTAAGTCTTTTATATATATATATATATATAATAACTTTGTCAATCATTTTCTTTGAACAACCACCCTAACAATGGACCCAAAAAATGGCTGAATTGTGTAAACTTAAGTAGCCAAAGACATTGATATGTTCCTTTCATATAAGGTAATGTACTTGTTGTGTGATCAATTGGAAACACTGTGTTTTCTTTCTAGTACCATTATTATTATGATTTATGAGCTCTTCTTCATTGCCTTGAATTTTATACTTTGCTTCGTTCTCTACTTTGGCTTAATTTATAGATGTCCTTTCTTGCTTCAATCTCCTTTTTCTTTTTGGTTACGTGTCGTCCCTTTAAAGGTCGATAAAAATAACTTCAACAACAACCTGTTTTGTATAGTTGTATGTAGATAGTAGGCATTAAGCTAGTAAGTTTAAGAATTAAAAGTATCTTGTCAATATCTTTGGTATAATATCTTTGGTAATGTTTTGTGACATATAGGCGACTTCAAGTGGGCTTAGGACCTCTTCTCTTTAGCTTAATTTCAGTTCAGTTCAGTTTCTAATTTTCTTATCTCATAAACAATACAATTCAACTCAGTTTAGTTCAATAAATCTGAACATGTCCACTTGGATGTTCTTCAAATCCTAAGTCAAGAGGGTTTTTACTTTAGATAAGAATGACTTTGACATTCCACGCCATTATTATCTATTACAAGATGGAGGAAAAAAATGCATGTTTGAGTTTGAGATTCCAATAATTTAGTATTATCGACATTGATATGTATGTTATGAGACTTTTCTTCACAAATTTACATATTAATTCACTATATATCCATCGTTTATTACATGAGTCCTATATACTTTCAAGGTACACATATATATACAAGTTTGCTTGTCAATTATTTGTATTATTACACTATTACATTGATAAATTAGAAAATAATATCATCATGGCATTTTAAGTGTAAATAGTGTAATAAGATAGAATATTCGAGTAAGTGAACAAATTAATTGAAATGAAGTGAGTGGTGATGAATTACAGCAATAATAATAATGTCTTTTCATTCTTTAGCTTTATGAAATAAGA